AACTAGGAATCCCAGAAATAACGCAATTGGATCAAAAAGTACTGGATAAGCTTGAACGAATGTACTGTATTTAGAATTCGAAGTCAAGCATTAAAAAAGTGCAAAGGAATCATTAGTTCATACAAACAACACAGTAAGCATATGTGGGACTTATGGACACATATTAATACAGACATACGAGAAGGCTCGTACACACTTTAAAGCTCACCACTTCAGATTATCAATTTTGTCTCTAGCGAAACATACATTAAAGAGAGCATTCCCAGAAGGGGTGTATCCTAATCCTACTATGAGTCTGTCCTACTTCAAACTGTCTTCCAGAAGCCGCAGTCACAGTTTTCTCAGCAGGAAGATTTAAGAAGAGACTTGAATACCATGCACATTCTCATAGCTACAGCATATATTTAGGTTTAAATTATGCATATTAACTGATAAAATTAGTTCGTATTCACTAGCATTACTGTACCATAGCTTGAGAATAACCAGTCAGTTTTGGTCATTGTCATCATGGCTACCGCAAACCATTACTCATAATTTCCATTTTTACTCTATTTTTACTTACCTTTCCATTCATTCGCTTACTTGTTGAATCGAATATTTAGCCAACTTGCATTAGGCAGCTCTTGATTTACCTATTTTCCTTTATTATAGTTTTAAAGATCCCTTTTAGGCTAAATAAATTAGCCGATTGACTTGCACATCGATTGTTGCCCATACCAGCGACCCAACAGATTTTTTTTAAAAGAGGTGACAAAGCAGTCATTGGTTTACCGTCAAATCCGTTAAAACTGGTGCAACAGAGTGGCCTTATTATCTTTAATAGATGATATCAATGACCTGGGAATGTATATAACATTAGAATTTGAGCTCAAACAAATCAACAAGCTAAGACCTGATCACTGGGATTATATTGGACAAAGTCCCAAGTCCTATGGCATACAAAAGATGCTCGAAGCATTGGCTTCGTATGTTTTGCTGTACAAATAAGAAGTTACTAATTCATGAGGTTATGAGCCTATTGGCTTTGGACTGTAAGGAAAACGATGGTGGTTGCGCTGATAACACGAGCACTGACGGTGAAGAACGTGTCAGTGTAGTACGTGCGGCTACCGGACTCGTTAAACACTTGACTGTGATTGACGGGAAAGTGAAATCCCCGTTAACAATAACGAGGAGTGAAGTGCCGCTTGATACTGATATAGGTAATCATACACCTCTAGTGAAAACTGTCACCGTTCCAAATAGTCCTGAGGTGGCTGTCCTGAGTGGTGATAGATGGACTCCAGTACGGAGAAAAAGAAATAAGAAGATAAAAGCTGTAGTCAAAACACAGCTGGTTAGCAAGTCGTTAGAAGAGACGGTATCAGAAACAAAAACTCCACTGAGTGTCAAAACAGATCTCTCTGAGATTTCAGTCATTTTTCATGAGTTAACAGAATCTTCCGATAGGGAACCAAAGGCTAGATTTGAACACGATCTCAGTCATATTAAGTCCTAAATAAGCAAACTACTCCCAGATATGGTTTCAGGAGTTAGCAACTGTAAGCCTTATAGAATTGGACAAAAGGTGAATTATGAAAGTCCTCAGAAAAGCCGCCTTTTGAAGGTTACATTTGCCACGGTTGAAGAAAGGAACCTGATTCTAGGTAGCTCACGTAAACTGATCGGACCCGGAATACACGTCCGTGAGGATCTTAGCCTAGCTGATCGTATTAAGAGACGAGCTGCAGAAGTGGAAATAGATGAGCGTCGCCGAAACCCCGTTCTCAAGGGTTTTAAAATTGTAAAAGTTCGAAGCAAAACGATCCCCAAATCACTCTGGGTGGTAAGAGAAAGTTCTTCACAGACTTACAGGTATGCTACACAAATGCTCGCAGCCTGCTACATAAAATGGCGGAGCTCAAGTCAACGGTGGACAAAGAAAAACCGGACGTCATTGCTGTCTCGGAAACTTGGTTAACGTCAGAACTATTAGATGGTGAAATCCAATTGACTGGTTTTTTGTCCAGTTGGGCTGTAAGATTAAACCGTAAGGGAGGTGGGGTTATCCTGTACACGTAAAGTACCCTAACCATAAAAGTGGCTGAGACAGTGGCACATGTTTCAGGAACATGTGGACTGGTGCGATGTAAGCTGAAATGTAGACGGCAAGATATTGAATTAGTTGTGTGGCAGATGATTTTTTCCCAAGTAAACTTAAGTCCTGGCGTAACAAGGGTAAAAGCTTTGCAGTAGGTGACTTTAATACACCGTATATAAACTGGGTTAACTTAGAAGTAGGGTCATCGATAACGTCGTTCGATTGCAAACTGTTAGAAACCTCGATTGGATTAGCTTTATTCCAACACATTATAAACCCTACAAGATATGACTTAAGAAACTCTTCTGTTCTTTTAGATTTAGTCTTCACACACAGTGATGACGTTGGTCAAATGACTTTTCCTCCACCACTGGGGAGAAGTGACCATGCAGTCATCTTATTCAAATTCATGGCTGAGATTGCCTGTCAAACAGTCGCGCCGGCCCGTCCTAACATATGGAAGGCAGATATGGAGGCAATCAACTCCGCAGCATCGACTGAAAACTGGGAAATTGACTCTAAGGCATCGGTATAAGAGGCATGGACTCTTTTCAGGCAGTCATACAATAGGGTAACTCAACCATACATACCCTGGACAGTTCCAAAGAGGAAGAAGCATGGCCATTTCTGGATAGGCCGGAATATTCGACGTTTACTAGGACAAAAGAAGAGATTTTGGGATGTTGCTAACCACATTAGATACGACGGAATGCTACAAATCAGTAAGAAACAAGTGTATAACAAAAATTCGGGAAGCTCAAAGAAAATATAAAGTGCAGTTAGCATAATCTGCACTGAAGCAACCCAAGGCAATATTCTCGTACATAAACTACAGAACAAGGATGCGTAATCGTATTCCCAACTTAATTAAAGAAGGGAGTGAATCTGAAACGGTAGAGGAAGATCAGGAAGACCCAGAGGCTATTGCTGACTATTCTGGGGCAGTTTTCACCCAGGAACCTCCTCTAGAGAAAGAACCAGACCCAAATACAGAGTCAACAAACCACCTGCTCACCGTGGACTTCGACCAAAACGATGTGTTTAAGGCTCTCAGCACCCTAAACATGGAAAAGTCAACAGGACCAGATAAACTACATCCCAAAACCTTGAGACATATTGCACAACATATTGCAGCCCCACTGTCTGTGATATTCAATATGCCACTTGACCAAGGTGTGTTACCTATGGACTGCAAGGACGCAATCGTAACTCTAATACATAAAACAGGACCACGACAACTTCCATCGAACTACAGACCTGTGAACCTCACCAGTTAAATAGTTAAAATATTGGAAAGAATAGACAAACGGATCATAATGGTATTCATGGAAACCAACAACTTGTTAAACGGAGAACAACATGGTTTTACGAAGAGTTTATCTTGTACAACGAACCTCCTTATAGCAAGGGAATTTAGGATAAAGGCACTAGACAACGGAAACTCAGTGGATTTTGTCTACATAGACTTCAGTAAGGCTTTCGACAAGGTGCCAACTAATAGACTGCTATTGAAGTTGGAAGACCTTTGTATTGCCGGACCTCTTTTAAAATGAATTAAGGATTTCCTAGTAGGTCTTAGACAGAAAGTAAGAATAAATTCCAAGTGCTCCATCTGGAGACCAGTACTTAGTGAGGTACCTCAAGGTTTCATCCTAGGTCCTTTACTTTTTATAATGTATGTTAATGATCTTCAAGGTATAGTAAGGTCCCAAATACGCTGACAATTTAAAGATCTAGCGAGTAATAACTGGAGACGCAGATGCATGTGCTCTTCATGTAGACTTAAATCATATGACTAACTGGTTTAAAAAGTGGTCAATGCCTATCAAAGCGGCAAAAGGTGTATACATGCACTTTGAGGATACAAAGGTTAATAGGTATAGCATAGGTGAAGTGCCATTACCCATGGTCCGGTCTCATAAGGATGTAGAGGTGACAGTGGGTCGTGATCTTAAGACGACGGGCCATTGCCGGGAGGTCTCAGCTAAGGGGTTTAGAACTCTATGGGCTTTAAAACGGACATTCACTAAGTTAGATAGTACCATGTTTACCACAGTATACACATCCTCAGTGAGAACTAAGCTTGAGAACTGCATTCGGGCTGCAAGCCCCTGTTTAAAAGGTGACTCGGATATCCTAGAAAAAGTATAGAGGGTAGCTACCCATGCGATCCCAGAACTCCGGGGTTTACCATACAAACAGCGACTTGAAAAGCTGGACCTCTTTACTCTGTCCTATCAAAGACTAAGGGGCGATCTGATTTTGATGCACAGAATGTTGAGAAATGATTTCAGACCTAACGTATTCCCTCTTTTTCTTCCCCCTAGATCGGGACATCTCAGAGGACATAGCAGGCGAGTAGAAAAGACAAGAACGAACATAATACCCGTGGAATACAGGTTTTCGCACCGACTCATCAATACTTGGAACCCACTGCTCAATGCAGTGGTGTTCGCACCTCTTTCAAGAGAAAACTGGGCACTCACAGGAGCATACTAGGAAAGGAATAAAAAAGGTCGTAGGCCTTCTGTCTTTACTACACAAATCTGAATCTAATTATTTCATAAAGGTTCCGATTACCGTACAATAACTTTGATTATAAACGGTTTTGTCTTCTTTTTTAGCTTTGACTGTCTTATTAAAGTTTCTGATACATGTTTTGTTTAAATCAATCACATGGGAAGTTATTTGCTTGGGATTATTCAATTGCGTAAACTGTAACGTTTAGATACCTGGCGGTACTTAGTTTTATTTTCAATAGTCACATTGTCCTAATTTTATACTTGTATTTTTACTGACTGATGTCGATTGCATTTAGTGCCTTCTATGTTCTGAATATGTCATTGGCGATCTTTTTCTGTTGTTCTTTTTCAGAATATCTCAAACGCATCTACCTAAGTGACGTACTGAAAGTTAATAAATGAACTTTGGTTGGAACATATCGGGTTATAAATACCTTGGCCTTGTGTGCGAAGGATCATGCATTAATGTTCCATTGAAGAGTGTTCAAATAAAATGTAGGGTAGTAAATATGCTTTCAGACGTCAAGGTAGAGTTTTTGTACGAAAACTCATTACAAGAAGCTCTGGAGGCGTCATTTGTTTTTCCATTAAACAATGTGGCGGTTTACCATTTCGAGGCACAAATCGGTGACAAAAAAATAGTATCCGTGTGTCGTCCACGTGCAGAGGTAAGTAGGATAAATTGCCATTTTACTTGTATATAGTCGGGAAAGTTAGTAATTATACCACTGGATTGGGTTGTTGATAATAGAAAAGTTGCATAATTACACAATAAGACTCAAACGTTTACAGAAATGTTTCTTTTAGTTTGCCTTTAATATCCGTGCAACAATAATATTCGGTGAACGATGCTTCACTGATTATTTTCAGTTCTTATCGTTAATGATAGTGGGTCCGAACGGTTCTTATTGTACATATAAACATGGTTTTGTGTGCTAAAATGTAACTCAGCGTACTTCCTATATCGTTTTACTTATTGAAATATCAAAGCTATAACTCGATTTTATTTAGTCCATGCTTTCAGTTTCAGTTTGGGAAGGACAGGAGGCTTGATAGCCTGTGTTAGTCCTGGCAGTGGTGGTCTCTCAGTTGGTCCAACTTTCTTTTGAAAGAGTTGACGGATGGAGCCTTAACCACGTGCTGGGGTAATGAGTTCCACTCGTTGATGATTCGATGGGAAAGTTGATAGTCAGCTAACAAGTAATTTGTTCTTGGCTTGTAAACTTTTTTGGAGTGTCCTCGTAAATTCTTCAGCTTCGGTACTTTATGTAAAAGGGTTTTATCTTGACATCCGTAATCAAAATTTAGAAAGCACTGACTGGTTAAAACTAAAAATTCAGGTATACAGTACGGAGTAATGCCCTAACTTCTATTAATGTGTCAGTTTATAACAAATCAGTTTCAGTTTGAAAAGGACAGGAGGCTTGATGGCCTGCTTTAGTCTTGGCAATGGTGGTCTCTCAGTTGATCCATCTTCCTTTTGAAAGGGTCGACGGATGGAGCCTCAACCACGTGCCGAGGTAATGAGTTCCACTCGTTGATGATTCGATGGGAAAGTTGATAGTCAGCTGACAAGTAATTTGTTCTTGGCTTGTGAACCTTTTTGGAGTGTCCTCGTAAATTCTCTGTTTTGGAAGACAAGAAAAATGAGGGCATATCAGGTGCGGATTTAGCACTAAGCAATTTGAAAACTGTAATCAAGTCGCCTCTAGTTCTACGATATGACAACAGGAAAAGGTTTAGCTTGGCCAGTCGGGCATCACACGGAAGCTTCGCTATTCCGGGAATCAGCTTAGTTGCCGTTCTCTGAACCTTTTCCAGAAGCTCACTGTCTTTTTCTAAACAGGGGCTAGCCGCTTGTATGCAGTACTCAAGTTTAAGATGTACGAACACTGTATATAAAGTCAAAAACGTCTTAGCGTCAACATAACTAAAAGCCCTACGTATTGACCATAAGGTTCTAGAACCTTTGGAGGCTATTGCACGGCAGTGTGCAGTAGTCTTTAAGTCTTGGCTAACGATGACTCCTAAGTCATTATGTGTCTGGACGACAGGTAGCTCAGTGTTATTGATCGTATATGTATCTGTACCTTGATGACCGATATGCATCACAACACACTTGGAAGTATTTATCGGCAACTGCCAAGTTTGAGACCATTCAGATAATTTCTTCAGGTCATTTTGGAGTTCTAAGGTATCACCCTTACATCGCATCGTTCTCCATATCTTGACATCGTCAGCATATAGCAAGACCAATGATGATAGGAGACGAGGAAGGTCATTCACATACACAAGGAATAGCACTGACCCCAAAACTGTACCCTGGGGCACTCCACTAAGCACAGTTTCCCAGCTAGATCACTTTGAGTTCACCCGTACTCTTTGTTGGCGCGCAACTAGGAAGTCTTTTATCCACATCAATAGATTGCCTCTAATTCCGACATTTCTTAGCTTGTATAACAGCCGAATATGCGGAACATTGTCAAAAGCTTTGCTGAAATCAATGTTGGCTACGTCTACAGGTAACTTTTGGTCCTTAATAGCGCACCAGCTTTCACGAGCGACTAATAAGTTAGTGAGACAAGAATAACCTATTCTGAAACCGTGCTGTTTCTTCAAAAGGATCCGGTTTTCATCGAGGTACTTAAACAGCTCCTTCCGAATAATCTTTTCTAAGATTTTAACAACCATACTAGTTAGGATAACGGGTCGGTAATTCTCAGGTTTATGTTTCGTACCTGTTTTGAAGACAGGACTTACTATGGCGTTCTTCCAGTTTTTTGGTAAACGACCCTGCGTTACGGATAGATTAAAGCATATACTTAAAGGGTTCGCGACGATATTAGATAATTCCTTCAGGATGCAATTCATCGGGCCCCATGGATTTACCTATCTCAAGCTTATTTAGCAGACCAAAGACATCTAGTTCTTTAATGGTCACGCTGTCCAGTGTATGTGTGGGGGGATTTGTACGCGCTGACGGGAAGGGTGCCTCTATGGTATATACATTGCTAAAGTAGTCCGAGAACACTTGAGCCTTACCAAAGTCGTCCTCCACTATTGATGCGGCAGTACTGTCTCCCCATAGAGCAGGAATATTTCCTCTTCATTTTATTTTTTGGTTTATATAGGAATGCAAGCGTTTAGGACATTCTATGGATTCCTTAACAATTTTTTCTTCGTACAACTTTCTAGACTTACGGAGGGTCAAGGCACAGGTATTCCGAGCTTTTCGATACTGAGATTTTGTCTCATCAGACCCCAGTAACCTAAATCTATCCCACATTTTTCTTCTCTTACGGAGGATGCGGACCTTTCTGCTGAACCATGATGGAGAGTTTCTTGACCCCCTTGGTTATAATCCAAGTGATGTAGGGTGCGGTAACTTTTAAGTATAAATTTCGAAATGCGTCCCAAGCCGTTTCAATGGAGGACTCTGGGTATATTGTCCAATCTACTAACGATGCTGAGTGCATGGTATCTGGTATGTTTGCTTTTCAGACGTTAGGTCTGGATTGAGTTAACGCGTGCTCGTGATTGACAGTTATATGGAAGTCGAAGGTTGAAACTGCGTGACCACTTTTACCTAGGGGTGGCGTGTAATGGAGGTTCGCAACGTCATCCTCATAGTGAGTCAATATAAGATCTAGTAAGGGTGATTCAGTGTCCGGGTCGTACCTAGTCGCTTCTTTCACATGTTGCACTAGGGCACATCTGATAACCGCATCAACTAGTTCCTGCTCGAAGGAATTTTCTGACGATTCGGTTCGCATATTTTCCCAGTATACCATGGGTGCATTAAAATCCCCTAGGATTAGACATCGACCACTTTGTAACCAAGTATTGAGACTGCTTAGCAGGACCTCCTTTACCTCACAGCTTGGGCTGCAATAGACCAAACCAATCATCAGCTCTTGTCCCTTGCATTTCAAGCGGCAACTAACTAATTCACACGTCCCACTCTCATGGGGTACACTGTCGATAATGGCAAATGGGATAGCATTCTTAACGAATAGAGCTACTCTCCCTCCCCAAAACATATTTGCGACTAGTTTATATATATAATCAACCTTACACGTTTCATATAACGGCTTATTTGAAATGGGAATATGAGTGTTTCTGAGGGGTATATTTCATATAATTGTACAGATTAGACGTATAAAATGTAGTGTTGAGAAAGGCTTTCCAGCCAACTCTATCTCACTAAGTGATTTAGCAATCGTACAGGTAGTTAAAGACAATCTAAAACGGGTAGCAAATAGAGTAAGTGATCAAAAGACGTACATACATACATATAAAATGGATCAAGGTTACTGGGACAAATATTTATGTACATGATGACTCGAGAAGTTCAGGGTAAATGACGTGAATCATCAAATGTATTAAAATGGCAACACACTTTTGCTTCCAATGCAGTTTGAGAGAATCATGGTTTTGAACCAAAAAAACTCATTTAATAATAAAGATAGTTATCTAAGCATGTAGTTTGGATAGGAAATAACAGCGCTTCTTATGAGACAAGAGTTGGATTGAGTCTTCTAAACTGGCAGGTCGATCAGTGTGGAAAACTTTGTGGTATAAAGTGATTTTTCAAGTTTACTTTTTGTTACATAGCTTATGCCGCGAAAATGTTTTACTGAATATCAGCGCTTCTTAGTTAGAAATAGATTGGGAACTTGATTTATTCATGATTTAAAAAACAGTAAATATTACTAACTTGCAAGATATAGCTATCACTCAGAGGTATGATTATAACTTTGGGTTTCTCCAATATTTATTTAGTGAATAGCTTTTTATTATATAAAAACGAGTGACCTTTTCACTTTCTGATAAGTAGCCTTATAACTACTTATTTTACATTAGTTTCAGGTCATCCAGAATAAAGTAGAGTATACCTCCACTTTATCAAATAGCTTAATGGTGTTATTTATTTTATTTTACTTCAATGAAGGCTAAAGAAACGTATGACAGTGCTGTTGAAGAAGGGCACACAGCAATCTTGGCCGAACAGGATGAACATTGTGCTGATTTATTTAAAATGAACATCGGGAACATACCGCCAAATGGAAAGGTTGCTATAGTTCTACAATATGTTGGACTGATAGAAGGAAAAAACATGAAGACAGATACATCTAAGTTTAGCCACTCTGAAATTATCCTAACTTTGCCAAGTGTTATCAACCCGCGTTACTACCCGAAAGGTAAATAATTATGTTTTGTTTAATTTCAATCCAGAAAAAAAGAATTCCGACGAGTTTGAGCAGTTTACGGAGCTTGTGCTTGTGAATTCTGTGCCCTACACAATAACATTTGAATCTGAACTTTGGATGCCGTCAAAAATTCTGGATGTCAAATCAACACGTGATAGTTTCACTTGGAACTGTACAAACAATTCTAATCATGGCCTTGTAAGCTTCAGCATTTTTTGTTTTCTTAATGGTCTAAGGTTGTTCTTTTATATCGATTCTAGAGGTACCAAGTATTCTGTTTTTCATTGTTTTCATGACTCGCCTCCACTAAAGGTCATATGTTTACAGAAGTAATACTACTCATTCAGAGTGGTGGTCGTGTTTATTTTAATTCACCAGAATAGACTTGTTTGTTCTAAAAATTTTAAGTTATTTTCCAATATTTTTATTATCTACTTTCGACTATGGGAATACAATTAAATTTGCTAAACATACTGTCTTGTATTATACATTCTCAAGGTGCTTCTTGTAGGCCTACCCTTTCTTGCTGAAAAAAAACATGCGGGACATGCACAGTGTGCTTCTAGTTATTTCATAATCCCGAATTTACGCTTTTATCGTGGTTCTTGACTTTCAAGTTTAGTTACGTTTTGCGCGAGACTAGTTTGGTCCTACATTTATCTTTAACAACTCATTCATGCATTGTAAGCATCTAGTCACTAACGCGTTGGTTGTAAAGTGGATGGCTAGTGTTTTTATCTCCCGGTCTTGTTATCAGCGGATAGCAAATAATCTTCATCATTCAAAATAACTGTACTCGCCTAACTATTCTACTACTTGAAGTCAGTTTATAACACTACATACTAAGAAGAATTTATTATTCTATCATGCATAAATATTTCGGGTAATACAATTTGCAATAGTTAAAGAAATCAGAAATCTGCCGCATGTTTGTGAAACAAAAAGGTTTCAATTTAGTTTGTTACATGTAATGCAAGTTGTTGCTTCAGGACTGGTCTGCGTCAACACCTGAACTAAGGATAGGGAGTGAAGTAGTCGAACGCGTTGGCAACTTCACTTATCTTGGAAGTCTGATCAGCCCTAATGGGTTGGTGTCTGACGAAATCTTAGCACGGATTCGAAAAGCTCGCTTGGCTTTTGCCAACTTGCGTCACCTTTGGCGAAGGCGAGATATCCGTCTATCAATAAAAGGACGGGTATACTGCGCGGCAGTCCGTTCTGTTTTAATTTACGGCAGCGAAACATGGCCATTAAGAGTAGAAGACACTCGTAAGCTATTAGTATTTGACCACAAATGTCTTAGAAATATTGCTGGCATCTGCTGGGATCACCGGGTAAGTAATAGTGAGGTGCAATGCTATCCGGTATTGGAGATAGTTGGAAGAAAGTTAGGGGCGGCCAAACCAAAACGTGGCATCAGTGCTTGAAGACACTAACTTCTAGTCTGAGCCATGTTGGTAGATGCAGACTACTTGGTTGGGGTCCGCGTGACTGTCGTAACCAATGGTTGGAGACTGTTGGTGACATGGCTCAGAATCGATCACAATGGCGTCGGTGTATACACTCCCTGTCTTCCCTTAAACTAAGAGATTAAAATCGCTTCACATCTTTCTTTCTACGAACCAATTTTTTCTTCTTGTACTATATCTCAATATGCAATCTTTCTCTTATATATTACCACATTTGACATAACCACTGCTATGAATCCGGTGTTCATCTTGTTGTGCTGATGCGGTATGGCAACCTGGACCGATGCACATATGTGCCTGGTCCTACGTTGTAGCTAACTGACTGACTTGTTACATGTAATAACGTTCTATCCACATGATTTGTCTTGAAACTCAAAAGATGAAATCAAAACTAGTCAGGAGATTTTTCACGCCGTCTTAACAGTATGTTTGAGATTATATAATTCCTAAGTTTTGACACGGAATTAGCACTAGAATTTTGTTTTTTGAAATGAAACCGTTAACACAATTTTCTAATAACTTATTTTTTGAAGATATCTTTAGTGTTTGATACGAGAAATGACATCTTGGTTTAGTCCTTCATGGGATAACAATCTAAAACGTATTGAGTGATGGGAGCCAGTTGATTTACTTGTTGGTTTTCCATAGCATGAAAATAAGGACTTCCCCTCGGTCACTGGGACTATGGTATGGTGGTCAAACTATTCAACTCTTGATCACTACATCTCAAGCCCTGTCTGGGCGTTAAGGTAGTGTTGATAATCGTCAAAACAATATGACTTGAAACCATGTTCATAAATCTGTAGTTGATTGGTAATTCACACGAATTAATTAATTTGATTCATGTTTTAGGTCAAACTTTCCTCTGAGTTTATACCAGATCATGATCTTCAAATGGTCCTAAGTCTTTCTGATCCACTTACATCTCTGGCATCTCTGGAATATGGTGATCCGAACCAGTCGTCTATATTGGCTATGAACTGTTTGATGGTACAGCTTTTGCCTGATATTCCTAATGTCGTTAGTTCTAAAGACATGCGATATGAGTTCGTGTTTTTAATCGATCGTTCAGGTTCGTCATTTCACTTTTTTTATTCGTCCTACTGAATACAGTTTTGATGGTTGCTGGTTAGCTTAGTATTTTGGTGGCTTTTAACATCAAGATCACATCTAAGCATCCACAAATATTTATTTATTTATTTGAACACACAAATATTGGTACAAGGGGGCACCAAATATATATGCGCCACACAAAACAATTAGGATGGGAAGAGAAAAAAAAGAAGAAGAATAACGACCAGATTAGTGTAAGGTAGTGTAATAGTAATAATGAAGGAGACGGAAAGGTATAACCAGAAGAAATCTTTCAGTTAAGGAAGATACAACCACTTTTTATGAAAAAATTAAAAGAAGGTTGCAGCAGGATCGCCACTGGCTTTTATTCTGAGCCATATCTGATAACGTCTCTAGCCACTGTGTTGCACCATCTGTCGGACTCCAACCAGGGAGCCGTGAAGGACCAACAGAAGCCAGTCCTTTGCAGCTTTCTTTCATACCCTGATACCATGTCATACACTGACCACCTCTCCGCTTTTTCCAACCAGTGCCAGCGTCGGCGAATAATGCACGACGTGGAATTCTCCGGAACGACATTCGTAGAACATGTCCAAGCCACCGAAGTCGGTGTTTCAAGATGGTGACACCAATTGAGTTATCATCTCTGTGGCCGAACACACGATGCCGAACCTCTGCATTACTGACATGGTGTTGCCACTGAATGTCAGCAATCCTTCGGAGACAGCGATGATCGAACACAGAGAGTCGTCTAACGTCCTCAACTCGGAGAGGCCAGGTTTCACAAGCATAGAGCAGAACTGCTCTCACCGACGCGTTGTAGATCCGACGTTTTATAGCCAGACTGACATCAAGAATGCGCCAAAGATGGCCCAGATTGGCATGAGCCGCTCTGGCTTTCACTATACGTGCATTGATCTCATCACTCACGCGACCACCAGTACTTATGCAGCTACCTAGATACACGAACTTCTCGACTACTTGTATCTGCTCACCATCCAGGGTGAGTACAGGATTAGAATCCTGTCAGTCTTGTAGAAGTACCTTGCACTTCGAAGGTGCAAAGCACATACCGTACCTACGGACATTGATTGCCAACTGATTAAGTGTGGATTGCATGACTTGGACATTGTCGCACAGTAAGAGAATATCATTCGCATACTCAAGGTCGAGAAGTCTTTCTCCAGGCAGCAGATCCACACCGCCATCACTTACATCCATCAGAGCTGTTTCCAGAATGTCATCGATGGCAAAGTTGAAGAGGAATGCTGAGATTGAGCGACCCTGTATAATCACACTGCTTGAAAGGGACAATGGAGAAAGGTGGTTGTATGTCCTCACTCTGCCTGAGGTGTTTGTATATAGGGCTTTTAGGATGTTAATAAACTTCTCAGACACATCCTTCTTCAATAGACAATCCCAGAGAACAGTCCTATCCAACGAATTGAAGGCAGCCCTGATGTCAAGAAACATAACGATTGTTGGCCTTTGATAAGTATGACGGTGTTCTAACATTTGTTGGAGGGTGAAGATATGATCAATACATCCTCGACCAGAACGAAACCCAGCCTGCTCCTCGCGAGTCAATCCTTCTCGGGTTTTAGACAACCTACGAAGTATGACGGAAGCCAATAGCTTGGACGCGATCGGAAGTAGACTTATTCCCGGATAGTTGTTACAGGAACGACGTGAACCCTTTTTAAAGATAGGGACAACTATCGACTCATTCTATGACGTTGGAACACTCTCTAGCTCCCAAACCTTTGTAAAAAACGTCGTCAGTTCCTTAGCCAGAAAGTCATCGTTTTTCACTCCGATTTCTTCTCACTTCGATGGAACTTTCTAATCTAACAGCACATAAACGGCTGTTAATGGGGATCCAATCAATTAATACTGCCTCAGCTGTAGCACTTAGTGTGACACCAACACCAGCAAGACCAGACGAAGATGTCACAGGGTCTCCGGATAAACGCATGTAAAACTAGGTTTTCGAAGCGACAGGGTTATTTAGTACTGTGAATTACAGTGACCTGAGTGCACACCAGTGTATGTGATGCTGAGTTAACAGATAATTTCTGTGTATAATCGATTTTACGACAGTACTGAATAGCATTTGCTTCGTTTATTCATGGTTCTCATAAAATATTTTAGATTGAATCCTTCACAGTGAATGTCACGAGAGCTGTCAACTAAGTTCTACCGTGTAGGGTTTCTCGTATGACCGATACTTTTTACCAGTTACTGATGATCACGAAAAGTTTCGTAATTCGGTAGATTTCCACTTCACAGTATTCTGTTTTCATTGTTTTTAACGTCGCCATTAACAGGAATTGAGACTCACTTTAGAAGTTTAAACTGAAGTCATTACTCTATAACTCGTTGGTAATCTCATCTTTATTATTGTCCTTAGTAACTTGTGAATACGAATAACACAAATTTTTACTTGAATTTACAGGTAGTATGGAAGGTGATAACATTTCTTACGCTAAGACCTCCCTTCTCCTCTTCTTGAAGAGCTTACCTATGAGTTGTCGTTTTCAAATTATTGGCTTCGGGAGTGATTTCGCTGCTTTATTTTCAGAGTAAGCAGAATGTTATTTACAGTCAATATTGTGATGACTCATCAGCTTTCCCCAAGAATCATGTACCTCGAAGATAACTTAATAATCACTAGTATACGGAAAGATTCATGGCCATTTCCACTTCTCATACAATCAGTTCCCGTTTTCACTTTGCAAATCCAAAATCATTATTCACTCTTAGTCGAATTCGCGATCAGACATTTATAGTTGTTTTATTTAATGCATAAAATCTGGTACTACAAGGCACCAGAAATAGTGATCATCATGTAAATTAAAGATAATGTTGTGATGAAATAAGTCATGGAAAAGGAGCGTTAGAAATAAAAGCACTCTAGCAAGAATAATACATCATAGGAGAAACAGCTCGATTAAAATTACGACCGAGTTCAGTTTAGATTGTCCGTGTATCACTTCACAGCAGGACAATGTCACTCCCATACCCAGGGTCGAAACGTTTTTCTCTGGGGAATGAATCATCGCCACAAACACGTACTTCCTTCAGAACTGAGTGTTATCGAAGTTGGGGAGAAATGGTCATATTTTACATGGCTGGATTTTAAAAACGAAGGGAAGTGATTTTATGCCCTCATTTTGCCTTCGAGGATTTAATAAACTCCTAATTCACACTGTTATTCAACAAACAATTCTAGAACATAGTCCTGTCCAACTAATTGAGGGGAGCTCTGAAATCAAGAAACAATGATTTTTGGCTTGAGATAAGTGTGGCACTGCCGTAACATTTACAGGGAGTGAGGATGCGATATGCACGTGCACGACCATAACGAACACCAACCTGTTCATCACGAGTCAATCTTTCGCGGGTTTCGAGCAATCTGCAAAGTATGGTGAAAATCAGTAGTGTGGATGAGATCAAATGTAAACTTGTCTCATTGTTGTTGCATAAGTGGCGTAGGGTCTTTTTAGGGATGGAGATGACGGTCGCCTCATTCTATGATGTTGGAATATCTCGGTGTTCCATACCTTTTCAAACAACCCAGTCAGTTCCTTGACTAGAAGTTTACCACCATCATTAAACCGAACCAGGGTCTAGGCCCGATGACTTATGGCATTTCATAACTTGGAGTTCCTAGTGAACTTCCCTCTCGTTAGGTGTATCAGTAGTTACCGACCAGCGAGTACTAGATCTTTTGACTGACGATATTGGGGCCATAGACCAGGTAAGATATTCCTCAGAAAACTCCTTCAGGAATCCATTAGATGTTACTGAATGGCGTATTATCGACCTCACAGAATTTTTAACTTGCACCAGACCTCTAGTTTCCAGTGATTCAGATAAGCTGAAATGCAGTCTAGCGTTTGACAGATGCATCTGCTGCTTTCAACTAGCTAGTACGCTACAATCACTGGGTTCCTTAGTCCTTACACAAACTTGAATCAAGAATCTACACTTACTATCAAACTCGTAGTTTACCAGATGAAGATGCTTCAAGGAGTTGTAAAGAGTCTGTAGAAACTAAGCGACTTAATCCACTAGTTCTGCATCGTCATGCAGAGGCAGCCGATGCTCATCTACACTTGCCAGTGAACTAGTGTCTAAACTCAGTCATGACTCGGTTTGATATTTAGTTGCAGCAATAGCTGCATAAAATTTTATGTGTTATAATCTCTGTTTGCTTCTTACGGTTAATGACCCAGCTATTCCTATTGCTTAGTATTCTCGGACACCGATTCACTCGACAAGTCCCCAAATCAGAACACGGTTGAACAGGAAAGAGATTATATTCCAAATAGCAAGTCAGAAGCCAGTAGGAAGCACAATAGGGGAAAACGTCGGTATATTTATAGTTTTTACATAAGAAGATTCCAGAGTATTCTCCGACTATCGACTAGTGCTGATTGGATAAGAATCAGCCAATCAGCGTGCACTAAAACAATCATGCATTGAGCATGCTTTAATCTAGTCTATGTCCCGCTAACAATATGTAACCATATGATTGTAAATACTGTCTGGCTGAATACTGAAGCAAAGAGAAAACATTTTCTTCAGTAGTAATCATCATAATATTTGTTAAAGATTTAGGGTTCTGTTTAGTTCTTCAAACCGAATCCGGTTGTTATTCTTGGGGGTCTGTTTCGTGGGCGCTTAGCCTGGAGACCTAGTCCACGATGCACGAGATGCTGTCCCATGGTGGCCGGTAATCAAAATATGTTCATATTCCATAAGTTCCTTCCTGCTTTCGCAGCTAATTTACACCATTTGTTCCCAATCAGGTTTCTAAAACTCCTTGATCTTTATTTGGTCATTGCTTCATGGTTTTGTGTCTTTGGTATTTAACATCCATTCAATTAAGGAGTGTGCTGCATCTGCTCACTTGTGTTTAGGGCTATCGTTTTTGAATTTCTGAGTGTTTTCAGCACACACTTATATGGCAGACCTCCAATATCTTAAATAAGTTTTACTTTTCAGTTTGATTTTCGATGTACTGTCTTGTATAGATTTTTAGCCATTCATTCACTCTTTACTGCGCCTTATATTTGATTCATTTGACACTAAGCAGATCAGTTGTTCTACTAAAGTCAAAACGATGTAAACTCATCGAAACTCAAGAGTACTGGGATATGTAACACAATACCCCAGTCACATCCGATGAATGCTCACTAATCGATTTGCCAACCTATACTAATACCCCACACCTAACCACAATTCAACTCACTTTGTGTTATCCTCATATGCAAGCAGTGCTTTGAAAAGATCAAGTATTCACCAACTATGCATGTTTTTTTACTATCACGGTGGGTGCGATGATGATACGCTATGAACATAATTTAAACCATGATAGTGGACTCAGGTTAATATTCGAAGTTAATCTGCTCTAATGAAATAGCTGTTTTTCGGTGTTTTGTTACTATTATTTCTGATGGGGATAAATTTTTGTATCATTTTTATTTACTAATTCGTTGGATGACTATTTTTATTATTAGACCTACAGACTATTCTGAAGGATCGTTAAATACAGCAATGAACTATCAAAAAGACCTAAATGCTGATATGGGCGGTACAGAAGCTTACAATGCTCTAAAGTCGGCTCTACATTCAACACCGAGTGGTGAAGGTTGGTTCAAACAAATCATATTTCTTACGGACGGTGATGTGGGTAATGCAGATGAGGTAGGTTTTCTGTTTTCTTGTAATTTCTAACTCTTTTACTTGATCGAATCCCTTATTTTGAAGGACTAAAGTTGTAATACAACTACCTACTGTTAACAACAAGGTCGATTGTAGTATTCACATTATGTTTATTTATTTTCTTGCTTTAAATGCCTGTTAACATTCATGGTTAATCACAAAAATCAGTATTTGGAGGTAATAAATTTATTCGAAATGAAATAATTTGTAATTACATAACTTTTTATGCTAGTGTGAAGTAAGCCTAGTTGAGTAGAAGTGGATGTGATGGTGGTCGGTTTAGTTGTTATATGTATTGGTCTTCAGAACTTTATACAGCTATGGCTTAATAGGATAAAATTTCGAATGTATGCCTTTGTATTATAGATTGTAAATCTAACTGTGTTTCAGACACCTAGTTAGCATCTGTTTACCTTTTATACAAGCGTATTTCAAACATAATACTTAAAATTGTGTTAGCTTCCTGATTATCAACAACTTCAAACTATTTAATTAATAGAGGGATAAATATATTCCAATATGACATTAAATTGAGACTGCTTCATCACTAAAAATCAGTTTATAAGTATCACCACTATGGTTTGACTTAATACTTTCAAATACATAAGACATTAGTTAAATTATTCATAGTAATAAGACAAAAATGTGTTTTTAACCCTCCAGTGAGTAGAACTTCCAAATTTTAATGTTGCATGAATTCATATAAGTCTCCTTTGATGAAAATCGTTAGAAATTCAATTTCCTATTCAGCAGAATATTAAGAACAAAATGTTTCGGTGAAAATTATTGATTCACTAGGATATGACAAACGTATTATTATATCATTTTTATAAATATCAATCTGCGTTCATGTGATTAAATAAACTCTATTACACTATGAACTACTGAGATTATTCAATTATAAACTAAATTAAGGCAATTAAGAGCTTGTTCAAAATTGAAGTTTATTAAAGTACCTTATAACTTATTTCTGTTATTCATCAATATTTACTTCATAAATATTTAGGTTATCGGTTTGGTACGAATGAACGTTGACAAAGCCAGAGTATTTACTATAGGGCTTGGACAAGGAGTAAGCACTGCACTAATCGGTGGTGTTGCTCGAGCTGGCAATGGTACAGCAGAATTTGTCCGTGATCCGTAAGTGTTTGTTTTTCCGTTTTTCTATAGTGCATCATTTTCTTTTTATCTATTTTAACTCTTTTCTGAATTGTATTTCAGTGGCACTTTTGTTATGCTAGTCTTATTTCTCTTTTGTTATGTATTTGTTATTCTACTAACCGTATTCGTACGGCGTTCCATCCGTGTTAAGGTTGGTCAAGCCTTATCGGGTGAAGCCGATTGGGTTTTGCAAGGCTCGCAAACCTACCGCGTGGATGTGATTTTGTGGAAAATCCGTTACCCCTAGTTCTTGGCCCACGGGCATCACACCAGGGCAAGTTTATTCTACATGCATACTGGAAACTTGTAAGTGTTATGTTTCGTTATTGCTTGAATGCGATTACTGATGCGTCTTACTCGAAACGGAACGAAGGATCAATGATTCAGCGACTCGATAGACTATTCTGGTCCGTTGTCCCCAACTCTGCTAACTCGATCAAGAAGTCTGGGTAAGGTGTAGAAAATGTATTCTATAGACAAACAGCAGATAACAAGTCAGGCAGGCAGATCAGATCAAGCATACAAGTCAAGCGTATTTATACAATTATTTACAATCGATATTGTCATAGAAAATTTTTAAACATTAATCAATGAGTTCATTAATTGACCTATTTGCGCATTTAATCGATAGTTCATCAATTGGTCCCAACAAAAATATCTAACATTTGATCGATAAGATAAAATTTAAAATATGAGTTTGGGGATCTATCGTCCCCAACACTCCTCCCCTTTTTAGAAGATCCGGAGTTGATATCCGGATTTTAAGTTTTCCAGGTCCATCCTCCCCCACGAAACAGTGTTGGATCCTCATGTGCCCACGTTATAATTAACTTGAATTTATTTAAGACATATTTATCGCACTGAACAGAGAATTGACTGAAAGTGACTAAGTCTTGAGGCTGAACGACACTTGATATGAGGTGTTCGAAGTTTAATTCTTCTGAAATATTGTGACCAAATTTATTTGGAATCTTATTTGTAGATAATCGATCATCAAGGTAATTAGTATCTATCAAAATTGTATTAAGTTTTTGATCATCATTTGATGCATCTGACATATTTTCTGGTAAGAGAGAATCTTGATAATAAGATTTGTCAAAAACATCTGTCGCAGACTGATGAGAACCATTTGAAGCAGTTGTATTCAGTGCACTGCTCGATTTGTTTTCTGTTTCATGGGTGGTTATTGCGACAATTCTATGAGGATTTACCAGGGAGTGTGTTTGTGAGCTGGATAAGTCACCGTCTGCACATGCTGTTTTGGGGATAATGGAGTTTGAGTCCATTACCGGGCATGTTTCTGGAATGGAGAGGACTGGACCACTGGGCGAATCTTGAGTGACTGTTGTACCGTTTGAAGTACGGTTTATCGGGGATTCATTGGGGCTGCAATCATTTTCCAGCTCTGTGTGCAGTTGAGAGATCAATCCATCCACTTCCGCTGCATCTCCAAAGCATGAGTGATTTAACAGCTGCGTGCGTAACTTGACTAAAAACTCCAACTGTCTTTCAAATAGCAGCTGTACTCGATCGGAAGGGAGAGTCATTTTTTTTATTCAGCACCGGTAATGCAAATTACTGTTTGATTAATGACCAATGTTGCTGAAAGACACTGATGACAAATCTGGATGCTGAAGGCTGACTTTGGATTGTTCTTTTTTTTTACCCCGTCGCCAATTGTTATGGCTCAAAGTGAGTGCCGATTATATGACAGTGACTTATCGATCGGATCAAGGATTCAGAATCTCGATAGCCTATTCTGGTCCGTTGTCCCCAACTCTGCTAACTCGATCAAAAAGGTCTGGGTAAGGTGTAGAAAGTATATTCTACAAGCAACAGCAGATAACAAGTCAGGCAGGCAGATCAGATCAAGCATACAAGTCAAGCGTATTTATACAATTATTTACAATCGATATTGTCATAGAAAATTTTTAAACATTAATCAATGAGTTCATTAATTGACCTATTTGCGCATTTAATCGATAGTTCATCAATTGGTCCCAACAAAAATATCTAACATTTGATCGATAAGATAAAATTTAAAATATGAGTTTGGGGATCTATCGTCCCCAACAGTAAGTTTTCACTCATGCGTCCTTTGACATACGCATAGATATACGTTACACGCACACCAGTAGCACACACGTTTCTACTCATACATCCCCTATCATACATATAGATATATTCACCCAGCTGGGAGGGTAGATGGTCAGTCACCGCTCCCTTCAAACGTATTTGCTACAACTGACCGTCACTTACGCATTGCATACGTATCAATGGTATAAAGGCTTTCTTCCCATAGACCGCTCAAGTCAGCTAGTAAGGTTGTCCCTACTTCCTAGCAGCGCTGTGGAAAGGCTTTAGGTCAGACTTTGCTGCCATAATATTAGATTTTATTCATCAATTGATGTTTATGTTGTGATCGAGCTAGTTAGTTTCCTCTTTAAGAAAAATACTTAAGGAAATAATGATTACTTACAGTTCGATATTTCATGAGACATAAATTAGAGTGATAAGTTCATTCACTTTACAAATGATTCGCTACAATAAATGTTGCATTCATAAGCCCACTACAAAATTATGGTCTTATCATTTTCTGGATAATAAATATTTAACTGTCAATGGATTAGTAGACAGAAGCCATTATCGATTTTCTTTAGGCTTTAACTAACGGATATACGTGGTAATGAGAATCTGTTGAAATATTTAAGTACTTCCTGTGGTCTCAAAGCGTGTCATTTATGTTTATGTGAATTTTACTTTGTTCAAACACTGGTTTTCACAGTGAATAAAGTGTTTTTGTGTAACAGGCATGATCGAAGTTGTAGTTAAGTCAATAAAAAGCGAGACGAACAGAATATATCCATCAATATAAATAAGTCTTGTTGGATTTTACCTGGAAATAAATGGCATGATGGATCAGATATTTATTCCATTTTATCGCAATTTGGTACGATGAAGCCTGTAAAATACCTGGTGGCTGTACTACCATGTATCTCTTCCTGTCTTGGTCAACTCTCATATATGTAGATTCATGTATAAATTTTGTGGTTTTAATATATTCAACTATTTTCAATTTAGTTCTCAACTTCAGTCAGCTGTGATGAGGACTCTTTCAGCTGCATTACAGCCAAGAGCTGATAATATTGAAATGGATTGGAAGCTAGTCGAGAAATTTCATGATGGCAAGGAGAAACCAATTGAAGTGGTAGTTGTTCCCAAGCAAATGGCTCCAATATTTCCCGATCGGTTCTCGACATATTTCGGTTTTTTCAAATCTGGTTAGTAAATGTAGTCATATTTGCGACTATCCAAAATTTGTAATTTAAAAATCAGTCTTTATTATGGCATATGCAACTACTGATAACCTGTTTGTGTTGGTATATACTGTTAGTAACACTTATTTTCAAGTTATTTGTAGTAGGTATTTATTTATTTATTTATTTGAACAAATATATATTGGTACAGGAATGCGCCAAATATATATGCGCCACACAAAACAATGAGAATTTAGGAAGAAAAAAAGGTGAGGAATGTAAAAGAAATTTTAAAAAAACAGGAACGAAGAGATTGGTGTAAGGTAGTGTAATAATAATAATAATAATAGTAATAGTAGGGGAACAGAAGGGTACAATCAGAAGAAATCTTTCAGTTAAGGAAGATACAACCACGTTTTGTGAACAAAGTAAAAGAAGGTTACAGCATGATCGCCACTGGCTTCTATTCTGAGCCATATCTGATAACGTCTCTAGCCACTGTGTCGCATCATCTCTCGGACCCCAATCAGTGAGTCGTGAAGGACCAACAGAAGCCATCTCTTTGTAGGTATACTTATGTGAGCCTTTCTGCCACTGTTTTTTTTTATCGTACCACTATCTCTCACCGACAATCCACTACGATATATGTTTGATTTCTCAGTTATTTCTAAATAACAATTAACGTAATAACTATCTGAAGTATGGCAGAATAGGTAAGTAATCACTATCGGACTAACTGATAAAGAGCTGTAAATTATATAATAGTCCGACGAACACTATGACAATTAATTAAAAGTATATTTGAGATAGCACAATGAGTAGAAATTTGAATTTCTGAAGTTTCATAACTTAGTGTAAACCACTTTTTCACAGTAAACAAGTAAATAACTAGAATTAGTTAACAAAGGTTCAAAGGGGCGATATATACATATATATACATATACATATACAAACATAACTTCCATAACAAACAGTTAGAAATAAAAACTATAAGGGAGTAGATGAAATTTGCTTAGAGAACTTCTGGATCTATCAGCCAACTGTGATTAGTTGAAAAGAAAATAATAAGCATGTTCAAATTATTCTTTCATTGAATTTGTAAACCTATTTCGTTAAGAATAGACTATCTATCTAACAGTTGAAAGCTGATAAAGTGGTATCATGTCATATTTGCATAAATATGGTTTAGTCATTCAAGAAAGTAATCTATCAACCTTCAACAGGTAATCAATCGATATGCGCCATCAATATAAGAATTTATGTTAATTTGGTTAATTGAATTCGTTTCATGCATCTCAGTTACATTTTTAAAAAATAGTATTTTCTAATTCTCTTTCGTCTTTTATTTATACAATAGATAAATCATCAACTATCCAAGGTCAAGTAAATTTCAATTGTAGTGTACTAGGTGAAAAGAAATCATTCATATTAAGTATATCGAATGCGATATTGTTTAATGACAAGTTGAATTGTTCTGGAAGTCTACCGATTCATCGGCTAGCAGGAAATATGCGAATGAATGAACTTATAGATGGATACCATAGTATACAATTAAATGAAATGAATGAGAAAAATGAAACAGAACTGAAGTCCATACGTCAACAAGTTGAAGATTTATCATGTCAATTGAATATATTATCAAAATTCACTTCTTTGGTCGCTGTAGATCCAGTCAAGTTAGGTAATTAATATGAACTTCATTAGTACTATAGTAAAAGTTCCTGTTCATTTCATGTAGTTTACCTTCCATCACTTGTCTTAATATGATTAGAATTATCTTAATTCATTGCACAAAATAAAGCATGGTGGATTTCTTTCACCATCTTACTACTTGTATTACTCTTCTGATTGCTTTTTTTGTTCTATTTTAGATGTTGATCCGAAGGAAAGAGTTAAAGTCACTGTACCTCTTATGTTCCGTCGTTTCTCTGGTATGATTCATTAAACACTTATTCCATAATGTTCATTTGTATGATTACTTTAATAATGAATTAGGATTTTATGGATTTATTAAATCAGTCTAACTTCAATGGGGCGATTCAAACAACCAGTACAAAAATGAATCAGTCCAACGTTTGTTTTTGTCCGACTGGTGTATATTTATTTGTAAAGACTTTCTCGTAATTTACTTTTGGGATTAAACACAACATGAACAAAAGATTTATGACTATTGTGAGTTAGGTTGATTTCTCGCTCACTATATGTCTGTAATTCTGACAAGTTTTGTATCATAAACTACCCAGCTTGACGAAGTGATTAAACGTTCATATCATTACGAATCGACTGAGCTATATTATTTGAAATATCTCTCCCTTGATACTCTTCTATCTAAGGCAGGTTGGTTGAAAAATATATGAAAGAAACCACATAAATCTGCTGAGAATCATTAGTTGGGAAATTATGGGTCAGTCAGGGTTTACGATGCACTAATATTTGAATCATCTCCATCAAATAGTGTCCGTCATCATTGTCCATTTTCTTCATCTTCACCAAATCTTGTCACATATATGATCATTTTTAAACTTGACTTTAAATTTATTGATCTCTAACATAAAAACCGCACTGACTAAGTACGTAGGCGAAAGCCTGAGTGGCGAGAATGAATGTTTGCGATGCACATCTCTTCCTATAGATTCAAAATATTACTCCGAGACTGGTCTTCATCAAATAAGGGTTGAGTTGGCGTACTCATGCCAGTTGTCTTGGAGTTTCACTAGCTGTAACGAGGTTATTGGTCAACGAACTCTAAATATAAGAGGTAACGGTCTCTTCATCATTTGCTAGTTCACGTCAAACTTCAAGCTAGAAAGATGTTCATCTTTCTATCAAAAGATGAGTATACTATACACCCTTGTGCTTTATTACTTTGCAATTATGAAAATTGTCTTCAGAGGTCGATGGTGTACTTATATTGGTATTCTGGATTACAGGTGTCTTCTAATCCTGTTCATTTGTATTGGAAACAGCAAATAACTGTGTTTTGGATGTGTAGATTACTAGTCAAAGATGATAAATCAGTTTACAAATATTCGATCTTCCATCTACTAATCTAAATGGAGTTAGTGTTTTGTATGTCTAGGAATTGCCTGCTCTTAAGTATGGTCTTGGCTAGAGTAAAAGCAGTTGAAAACGACTATTAGGAGCGACTATATGGAGCCAAGAGGATTAATTACAGGGAGACATTAATTGATAGCCTGAGCTTTGTTTAAAGGTGCATACTTTACTGTTAGACTTGCGAAATAGTCGTCATATTTATTTAAACACCCTGAAAGACGTTCTTTAATAACACTCGAATAATACCAGACGCATCGATACTTTACTTTTCTCCGGTGCGTATTATAATTCTATCCATTCGTTCCTTTTTTTAAAACTATATTTATTTTATCCCTACCACTACTTACCTACCATTCTTACTTTCTTTAATACTCTCGTTTTATTGACGTTAAGTACAGTATCACGAACTGCTAAACATATATACCAAGTCCTGCTGTGCTTATGATTAATTGATTATCAACTGAATCATTATCTATCGATATATTAGTAACGTTGTATATTGATCTTATATTTATGCTTTCTCTGTAATAAAATTAGTACATTGTGAAAAGTATTTTAAATGTAATTGATTTTATTGTTACTCGGCTGTTTACAATATAAGTGCATAAATACAATAATTATTTCTTATGACCTTATAATATCCATGCGAATGTATATTGCATAATATTTTTTTTTAATGTCGAAATACTATTCTTATTTGCTAACATTATAATCCTTTCAATTCGTTTAAAATTCTCATAGCATCATATGACAAAGTCAGCTCAGATTTTTCTGATAATAATTTATTGTTTACTAACCGATATTATGACTAAAATGTTTATACCAATGTTTGTATCATTAAAACTATTAAATAACATCCATATTACATTTTTCATGTGTACACCTTTCTTTTTTACTGTCTTTATTCTTCTTAGTTGCACAAATGTCAATGCCTACAGGGAGTATTTCTTATGATACCTTAGATGGTAGTAAGTTTATTGCAGTGTTGAAATATATATATTGCTTAGACTTATCGATAAATTTCACTATGCATCGTATTCGACTTTTGAATTTGTTAACTGTCTTTTAATCATACATAGCAAATCAAAGAATTTGTGCTTATTTTTGTTGATAGAATGACCCAATAACTCACTGCTTTTTTATTGATACACGTAGACAATTAATAAAATAAAGTGTTATATAAGATGGTTCAGTGTAATTTTGGCCTAAAATGTCATCCTATTTAGCTATGTTTGTAAAATAGTTGTTTTTGCTTTTTGCAATGCATTTCGTTAAAAAATAAAGTCTTGCTTGTGTTTATTTAAGCAACATTGTCATCATCAATATTGCAAATATCAAAAATTGTATTCATGTTAGTCTTAATTAAATATTTTATAACTGTTTAGTCATTTGTTTAACTTATTCTTCACTTGAATATTTTGTAATTTAATAGTTGAGATCATGAGTCACAATTGAAGCTAGACCACCATGGAAAACCTGGAAGCACTGGACGGCTGTTTCGTCCTGTTGTGGCACTCTTCGGCAGTACGCATACATGGTGGTCCAGCTTCAATTGACTCATGATTTCAAATATTAAGTTACTATAATGTCCACAAAAACCCCTTCATCTACTGGGAATTTCATTTTGTAGATTTAATATAATCATTATTCATGTTCATAAACGTTACTTCCTTGATATGTCTTTATTTTATCGATTTTATTGTTAATATTCTATACTTATACAGATTTCGATGGAGCTGTTGGATGCTGTGGTAAGTTAACCTCCTTCCCATATTACTTTAATGATTTGAAGTATTGAGGCATCCATGTTTTTTGCTTTGTCTCTTTTATAAGTCAGTAAGAGTGTATACTGTTTATTTTTACGCGCGCGCGCATGTATTGATATACCGTCTTAATATGTCACATCGTGTTTAGTGATAATGGGAAATAGTGAAACAAATTTTATCAAATGATCTTATATGTCATATTGTTTTATACCTAAGTACAGATGGCACGTGTACTAAAATTCAAATTTCATTTATTAAAACGATGGGTATGGTAATTCACTTTACGAATCCAAAGATATTTGAGATTCCGATGTGAAAGTTAATACTTGGACAAATTATACTATTTCACTATGGTTCATATTGTATAAAAAAAAGTTAACCTAGAAATCTCCAATCCTTCCTCAAAGGTGCATCATATATTTACCAAGTAGTAGTGATTTGGGAAAAAAACTAAAATCCGAATAAAACTTTAAAATACATCAAACGATATTATACATTGACAATACTGTAAAATGAATTATATCAATAACCGACTAATAGGGTATATGAGAGATATATTCTTTCCAATATGTACTACATCGAAGTTGAGATGACTGAATATCGCTAATTGATTTACGTCAATTACAGGGTTTTTCCTCTTGTACGAAACATAAGGTACGAGTGTGCATCATCCCAAAACTTGGAAAATTATGTAATGTAATTGGAATAAGGAATACCGATCACATTAAACGTATTATGAATATACACATGAAGGTGAAATGGAAGTTATCGTCTTCACACAAAACAAAATGATTATTTTACAGTTATCTTTTATTATTGGCTAATTTTTAAAGTCCAACGCGTCCAAGATAACTCACATTGGAAGATAGTGTTTGTAATATTTATCTTTGTTGGTTATTATTATTATTTATTATTTCATCACATAAATATTGGTACAAGTGGGCACAAAATATGTATGCGCCACACAAAACAATGAGAATGGGAAGGGAGAAGAAAAAAGAACAATAACGACCAGATTAGTTTAAGGTAGTGTAATAATGATAATAATAATGAGGGAGAAGGAAAGGTACAATCAGAAGAAATCTTTCAGTTAAGGAAGATACAACCACTTTTTATGAAGAAAGCAAAAGAAGGCTACAGCAGGATCGCCATTGGCTTTTATTCTGAGCCATAACTGATACTGTCTCTAGCCACTGTGTTGCACCATCTCTCGGACCCCAACCAGGGAGTCGTGAAGGACCAACAGAAGCCATCCCTTTGCAGCTTTCTTTCATACCCCGACACCATGTCATACACTGACCACCTCTCCGCTTTCTCCAACCAGTGCCAGCGTCGGCGAATAATGCACGACGTGTAATTCTGTGGGACGACATTCGTAGAATATGTCCTAGCCACCGAAGTCGGTGTTTCGAGATGGTGACACCAATTGCATTATCGTCTCTGTGCCTGAACACACGATGCCGAACCTCTGCATTACTGACATGGGGTTACCACTGGATTTCAGCAATCCTTCGGAGACAACGATGATCAAACATAGAGAGAGTCGTCTAACATCGTCAACTCGGAGAGGCCAAATTTCACAAGCATAGAGCAGAACTGCTCTCACCGACGCGTTGTAGATCCAACCTCTTACAACTAAACTGACATCACGAAGGCGTCAAAGATGGCCCAGATTGGCATGAGCCGCTCTGGCTTTCACTAAACGTCCATTGATCTCATTACTCACGCGACCACCAGTACTTATGCAGCTACCTAGATACACGGACTTCCCGACTACTTGTATCTGCTCACCATCCAGAGTGAGTACATGATTAGAATCCTGTCAGTCTTGTAGAAGTACTTTTCACTTCGAATGTGCTAAGCACATACCGTACCTATGGACATTTTCGACTTATACAGCAGCTCGCTTATAGTGGAAACTCGGTTGTATCTTTGTTGGCGCATTATTCTTTATCATGGAGATCAACGCCTTGCTTTCACCCGATTGTAAATTATTCTGTAAGATCTTCAGGTGGAATCATATCTATAATAAAACGCATAGTTCACTGAAGTAGTAGTTAGAGTGTTTCTATTACCTTTTTTTTTGAATGAGCATCTGTAACAATATTAATTGTAACTATCCTAATATTGTCTGTTAATAATTACATTCCTTTAATTACTTTTTATTATTTTAGCTTTACCTATGTGCGCTTTCAATAATTCGTTGGGTTTTGATACAGACATGTGTGGTGAAGGTAGGCTCATCATTATCTTTTAATTACTTGCTTACTTACGCCTGTTACTCCCAATGGAGCATAGGCCGCCGACCAGCATTCTCCAACCCACTCTGTCCTGGGCCTTCCTTTCCAGTTCTGTCCAAGTTTTCTTCATGATGTCGCTAACCCCATGCCTAACCCTCCTACTTTATCCGGGCTGGGGACTGGCAGTTGCCTCAGAGGGTCTCCAGATGGAGTTTTTTAATTACCTAAAATTCACTATCGACTGTAATGACAACTAAACTTATCACAACTAATCCATTTTGTCTCTTTATGGTTCCAAATACACCTAAACGATAAGTGTCAACATTATTTCAATCTAGATTAAACGTTTCCAGTCAATATAATAAAAAACGTATAAAAGAATATAGTGTACTTACTTAGTGCGTTTTTATAGAAACCCTGGATATGTAATAAATTGTTTTACAGAATAATATTCTGTAAATTGTTTATTCGTGTCATGTGTACAATCACATTTCTGAAATAAGTAACATTCAGTCTCTCTTTTTTTATTTACTATGCTCAAATTAATCTATTTCTTCAATTCGAATAATTATAAAATAATTGGGAATTTTAATCACATCAGTACTACTTTAAAATCATTATTTAAAGTAGTCATTTTTATTTTTTTATAAAAAAAACCCAGGTTATTTTGAAGCATTATTATACTATTGTCTAGTGTACTTGTTTCAATCATTTGAAAAGATTTATCAAGTGTTTTCATTCATTAAACTAGTTACGTGACTAAGTTTTTTAATTCCCCTTCCCCCCCCCCAAAAAAACTGCCTCATAATTAGTGCAGACCTTCAAACATATCCTCATTAAAACTGTTTAAATGTAAAACTCTCATAAAATAAATTGTACACTTGTTTCTTATTTGTATGCTTGTTAACTAATGGTATATTATATCAGCTTTATATCAACAAAATCATATACCATATGAAAGTGACATAATAATAGTTTTAAGTTAAGGCTGATTATTTATCTAATTTCCTTTATGATAATATTTTTGTCTTATTAATATTTTTATTTGTTCTGGATCTGTTTTAAGACAATCACTATCTATTACAATCTGTGATCTATCAATATTTCACTATATGATATTCTTTCAAACAATTAATATGCAAGGTATTTGATTGCATGACACATTACAGCTAATATTATTTCTAGTTAATTGAATATATCATGTATTTTGAACTCCCCATATTGTTAATGTTGCTCAGTGTAATAAATTTTTATTATCGTAGATATAATATTGACTTTGTAAGGATTTTGTACAAATACAATAGAAAGTTTTACTAAGTGACGTGATTTGACGACGCATCAAAAATCAAGAATCACTAAGAAGCTATCGCGTGCCAGTTTGAAACTTTACAACTGTGTGTATTGACAGCCTAACACTGATGTGAATCTAATACCGTATGGTTCATATTAAGCTGGATATACTTTAGGTATTGAGCCTGTTGATACTGGTCTTTATTTCTTAATGCAATCAACTAGTTTGTATATCACGATCCTGGCCCAACGTTGTTGATAGGTGGCTGCCTGATTCTTGTATTGCTTTACTAAAGCTAAACATTACACTTCTTGGTAGTCTAATTAACTAAACTTTTTATTTATTCTCAGTGACTATGTTATGTTGCATGATCCAGACGATCATTGCAATTGTTTAGCTAATTTATATTTTCTATGAACATTGGCATTAAAAATGCACTCACAATTGACCAATCGTTTACACAAATTGAGTCAACAATCAATTAGTTAATTTTATTCGGGATGACTCTATTCGAACGTGACAGGATGATCTTCAGATATGTGCTACAATTTAGGATATGTTATAAGTTGTGGCCCTGTTCGCCTATCAGTATATGACGTAATGGTACCGCCAATTAGAGAACAGTGACTTATCGACAGGACCAATGACACATAAAACCCGTGCGAGTAGTCTAAAGTCCTTATCGGTTCTTCTCTCTGCCTGTTAGATTCCAGAACACCAATCTCAGCCTCTGCGATATGAATCATTTATTCCAAACATACTGGGTTCATATGTAAACCAAACAGACCACATCGTACCATAAAATAGAAAATAACATTTGTACAAGATCTAACCAAATGTGGCTGTGAATGTGTGAGACTGTAATTAATAAACTGGGCAAAACTCAAGAACGGTAAATCATATAATAACAGTCTATGAGTTAAAATAAAGCTTTAAATAAGAGGAGTATGAATATACACAGCTGTTACTTAACAATTATAAATAAACCTATATATGTAACGTATCGGTCCATAGACAGTTCTCAAAAGTTATCATTCATAATTCTCGTCAGGATACAATAGGATACATGAAATATTCATCAGTCAGTTCAAGATTTAAGTTATGCACAATTTAGCGAGTAAACTGTTTTGACTTCCAAAATGTATTAGATTAATATAAACTAAATGTCAAATTGTTATTGAATAAATTGGAACTCGTAAGTCATCATTAAATAAATAATATAGTTTAATTAAAAAGTAGAGAATATTGAATCTCTAATTAATTTATTGAAGTTAGATAGAATATTCAAAATTTAATAAAACGGACAAATTGTGTTCAGTATGAATTTCACTGAAGTATTCACTGTCTTTTGACTCAATGGTGTATAAATTTAAATCGATTGTGAAAATTAATTTTTACAATAAATTTTTCAATCCTTTAATATTCATAAATTATTTAGTTATAGAATTGATTTTATCATACTTGTGTTCTATTAGTTATCTTCGTACAATTATTCATAATTTTAATAGTTGAGATCATGAGTCACAATTGAAGCTAGACCACCATGGAAAACCTGGAAGCACTGGACGGCTGTTTCGTCCTGTTGTGGCACTCTTCGGCAGTACGCATACATGGTGGTCCAGCTTCAATTGACTCATGATTTCAAATATTAAATTACTATAATATCCACAAAAACCCCTTCATCTACTGGGAATTTCATTTTGTAGATTTAATATAATCATTATTCATGTTCATAAACGTTACTTCCTTGATATGTCTTTATTTTATCGATTTTATTGTTAATATTCTATACTTATACAGATTTCGATGGAGCTGTTGGATGCTGTGGTAAGTTAACCTCCTTCCCATATTACTTTAATGATTTGAAGTATTGAGGCATCCATGTTTTTTGCTTTGTCTCTTTTATAAGTCAGTAAGAGTGTATACTGTTTATTTTTACGCGCGCGCGCATGTATTGATATACCGTCTTAATATGTCACATCGTGTTTAGTGATAATGGGAAATAGTGAAACAAATTTTATCAAATGATCTTATATGTCATATTGTTTTATACCTAAGTACAGATGGCACGTGTACTAAAATTCAAATTTCATTTATTAAAACGATGGGTATGGTAATTCACTTTACGAATCCAAAGATATTTGAGATTCCGATGTGAAAGTTAATACTTGGACAAATTATACTATTTCACTATGGTTCATATTGTATAAAAAAAAGTTAACCTAGAAATCTCCAATCCTTCCTCAAAGGTGCATCATATATTTACCAAGTAGTAGTGATTTGGGAAAAAAACTAAAATCCGAATAAAACTTTAAAATACATCAAACGATATTATACATTGACAATACTGTAAAATGAATTATATCAATAACCGACTAATAGGGTATATGAGAGATATATTCTTTCCAATATGTACTACATCGAAGTTGAGATGACTGAATATCGCTAATTGATTTACGTCAATTACAGGGTTTTTCCTCTTGTACGAAACATAAGGTACGAGTGTGCATCATCCCAAAACTTGGAAAATTATGTAATGTAATTGGAATAAGGAATACCGATCACATTAAACGTATTATGAATATACACATGAAGGTGAAATGGAAGTTATCGTCTTCACACAAAACAAAATGATTATTTTACAGTTATCTTTTATTATTGGCTAATTTTTAAAGTCCAACGCGTCCAAGATAACTCACATTGGAAGATAGTGTTTGTAATATTTATCTTTGTTGGTTATTATTATTATTTATTATTTCATCACATAAATATTGGTACAAGTGGGCACAAAATATGTATGCGCCACACAAAACAATGAGAATGGGAAGGGAGAAGAAAAAAGAACAATAACGACCAGATTAGTTTAAGGTAGTGTAATAATGATAATAATAATGAGGGAGAAGGAAAGGTACAATCAGAAGAAATCTTTCAGTTAAGGAAGATACAACCACTTTTTATGAAGAAAGCAAAAGAAGGCTACAGCAGGATCGCCATTGGCTTTTATTCTGAGCCATAACTGATACTGTCTCTAGCCACTGTGTTGCACCATCTCTCGGACCCCAACCAGGGAGTCGTGAAGGACCAACAGAAGCCATCCCCTTGCAGCTTTCTTTCATACCCCGACACCATGTCATACACTGACCACCTCTCCGCTTTCTCCAACCAGTGCCAGCGTCGGCGAATAATGCACGACGTGTAATTCTGTGGGACGACATTCGTAGAATATGTCCTAGCCACCGAAGTCGGTGTTTCGAGATGGTGACACCAATTGCATTATCGTCTCTGTGCCTGAACACACGATGCCGAACCTCTGCATTACTGACATGGGGTTACCACTGGATTTCAGCAATCCTTCGGAGACAACGATGATCAAACATAGAGAGAGTCGTCTAACATCGTCAACTCGGAGAGGCCAAATTTCACAAGCATAGAGCAGAACTGCTCTCACCGACGCGTTGTAGATCCAACCTCTTACAACTAAACTGACATCACGAAGGCGTCAAAGATGGCCCAGATTGGCATGAGCCGCTCTGGCTTTCACTAAACGTCCATTGATCTCATTACTCACGCGACCACCAGTACTTATGCAGCTACCTAGATACACGGACTTCCCGACTACTTGTATCTGCTCACCATCCAGAGTGAGTACATGATTAGAATCTTGTCAGTCTTGTAGAAGTACTTTTCAATTCGAATGTGCTAAGCACATACCGTACCTATGGAGAATCCTCAGCAGTTTGCATCCACGATCCCGCCTCGCGAGCGCTTAACCATTAAACCACTGAGCAGGTATCCGACAATGTTAATGTCTAACTTCAACCAATCCACGAAATTGAGCCACACAATCTAATGAGAAGCAGTGACCAGTGGAGTTCAACCGGATCTGTTGTGAGATTGTAACTCAGTGAAGACAATGTTGGATGTGTCGCTCAGTTTCGTGGATTAGTTGAGGTTAGATATTAGCACCATTGGATGCTGGCCAGCGGTTAAGCATTCGCGCGAGACCGATAGATCCTGGGTTCAAATCTCACGAGGCCGGATCGTGGATGCGCACTGCTGACGAGTCCTGCTTCGAGGTTTTCCATGATAATATAGCTTCAATTGACTCATGATCTCCAACTATTAAAATTACTATAGTATCCCACAAAACCTCTTCTGAAATTATACATAAAACCGATATTATTCCATATATTTTGTCTTTCCATCTTGTTATTTAGATCAATTTCAGGAAGTTCAACCAGTTAAAGTTATGGAAAAACATATAAGACTTGCTGAATTACAAAGTTTTTCAGGATTCTGGAAATTAAATTCTGATTTATCTGAATGTTTTGAAATACCTCTTGATAATTTGACAGAGTTTTTAAAACAAACTGGTAATTTTAATGAATTTATTTAAAGTTTTTAACTTATGTTTATATGATCTTTGTTATTTCGGTTCAAAATTCAACTAGCAATTAGTTTTCGGTATTGTTTGGCAGTTGAGTTTATTAAAGTGTTGCACCAAATAGAACGGTTAACTTTGTACCCATGTGATTACATTTTTTTCTTTATTTACTACTCGAGTAAATATATTTATAATTGTTAATTAGATTTCGTCCCCACAGTAACAGTTTGATTACAATAAAGCGACATTTAAGAGTATTTTATCCATTTCAATCTAGCTTTGCTATTCACATATGATTAGGTATATAGCAACCGAAAGGAAATGTATTGAGTTTACATTGGTACGAATTATTTGATTATTTTGACATACTTGTCTATTGTTAACTCATATCCGTTCAAAGATTTCTCATTGAATCATTATTGTAAATCATGTCTCATATTATAATTTCCGATTTTAGAAAAATCCTTATCTCTATCAGATGTTACTTGGGGGACCGCTCTGGTAATTGCATATCTGGAGTTATTTATGCCTGAGAAGGAAAATGAATGGCGCCTGATAGTTGATAAGGCAAGATATTGGCTCAACACTCAAGGTCAAATATCTCAAAAAGATTCAAAGAATCCCAGTGAGTCATGTGATGAACTTATTGAAAAAGCTCGTCAGGTTTTAACTAAGTTATTGAAATCGACTGCATCCAAATAGTCCTTGTAATGGACAATCTTATTAACTTTTTATTTTGATTTCGAAGATTTTTTTGTCTTTCTTTCTTTATATAATGAAGATGTTGCACTTTGATTTATCAAAATATACCTATATTTGTTTGACAGACTAATTTATTATTTTAACTTTCTCGTGAACATACCATGGCAATTGTAAAATCACAATAGATGTTGACTGGGATTTCGCATTCTTCATCCTGTATAGCAATTATGTTTTCGCTGGAGAATGAAGTGTTTTGTCGTTGACAATAGTTATTCTCTGAATTGAATTATATGGACATTAAAAATTGATTAGAGTGTTTATACACTGCTTGATGACTATTTTCAAGCGTTTAAATCGGCACCACTAAGACATTTTGCTCAACTATTGTTGTACGATTGCGTCGATGATGACTTAAACTAGTGTTCCAAGTACAACTTAAAATTTGAAACTGTGATTCATATGTGTTCACATCTGGGTTGCTATGGCTAATCAGGATGTTGACTACCACCTGAATTCTCAATTAGAATATGGTACCTGACATGTATCCATGATCTTAATAAACTCCCTTTCGATGCGATTTGAACGCCATAAAAACTTTTAAAAAATTAAAACAGTAACTGTAGACTTTAAAATGTAAATTCTAGATTTTATATACTTCGTCAAGTGTGTTGGATTCGTAGTTCAAAAACCAAGATAAGCCTACAATGATTGTCACCGTGAACGATAGATTGGCTAGAAGGAATTTGTACAAATTTCGAGATGCATCGATGTTACGATTTCTGCAATCGAAACACCACAAATGCCTACTAAATTTAGAAGGCAGACAGTGCGTTTGATTGCAGAAATAATAATATATTTATAAAATAACGATGAGTAAAAAGATGAATTTCTGAGTGTTTGTATTCTAATATAACCTGCTGTTTCAGAAAAAAAATTTACCACGTTTTAAGGAAAGGACGGTCTAAATATCCATCCAACATGAACTATTCATCCAAGTATTCACAAACTTAATTCCATTCAGGACAAACATATCCTTCTAACTATATTTTCAAACATTACAAATATGACATTTCCCACACCCACTAAAATATACACAAGGACGACTCAACCAGAATCAAGTTGACGAAAACGACATTACATTCCCGAATTTCAGGTAAAACGATGATAATATGATATGATTTCCAGTTATTCAACATTATGTATGACCATTTCATCCGGACATTCCTTTAACAGTCTTGTTCTATGGATGTGTTAAGAGGTAAAACAAAATCAACATTAAATAACTTATACCTCAGAATCGGTATTATCGACCATGAATCCTTTTAAAATGGGTTATAAACGTGAGTTATTGAAGTTCAGCACATTCACTTTATAATGTCCAAAAGTTTTAATTGTGAACAGCACAGATATCTAATTAAGTCTGATCTCCAAACTATTCTTCAGTCAATATTATTTATAATGAAAATCATCAGTTTATACGAGCTTCTAGTAAAACTATGTCAACAAATAAATTGAGTTAGATTTTCTGAAAATGAAAGTTCAGGTTTTTTTAAACAGTTTACTCTCACGCTGTTAGTTGGTGTTTCATTTTTCAATTCGTTCATAACTCTGATTCTATTAACATGTCATTCACTTATAAATTAGGCAATAATTTATCTAATACATACGGTTTATTCATGATGATAATCTTTCAAAATCGATAAACATTTGTGTTCTCTACCTCGGTTTCAAAGAAGCTCCTTGTGGATACGCATGAATGTGAATTCGTTGCTCTCATATATCGTGTCTTACAAGTCATATGGTTATGTTTCATGATTATCTTCCTCCCAAGTTCAAAGGTATATCGCTTTATCTCAAATAAACCTTGACATTATATTGAGCCTTTTTATCACTTATGATATTCTGAAACACCTAGTAATGGGTAAGCTGAAAAATGATGCGAACAATCATCATATTTAATCGCACCGATTGCAGCTTGGTTCATTCTGACTGTGGAAGCTCTGGATCCAGTTATGTAACTACTTTTCCGAGAATCTGTAGTGGGACTGTTTGCCAGCCCTTACTGATACCACGTGAACTTTATTTCATTCAACGGAGTCTAACAATAATGACAGTCTGTTTCCCTAAAATGTTGTAGCTTTGTGTTGTGGATGCTGAGGAATAGACCAATAATTATCATGTTAAGTCCAATGGTGTCCTTGGACTTTAAATGGACATTTCCTATTGGTCGATATCTGTTCACTTGTTGAATATTGTACAAAATGTTGTTTTCTATTTTATGGTACGATGTGGTGTGCTTGATTGGTATATAAACAAAGTATGTTTGAAATATAATGATTCATATCTCAGAGGCTGTGGCTTGTCTTCTGGACTCAAGTGACTGGGCTAGACAGGGAAGCGCAAACCAATCGAGACTCTAGGCCGTCCGTTCGTGTTTACACTGTCACCGAATCGATCAATAAACGCTGCTTATCAAAACCTGCAGTCACACCCGTCATAACACTTTGTAATGTATGTGAGTCTAATAATTAATAGATAAAGAAGGAAACAGAATAAATCGATATAGAGTAAAAAGTGTGACCGAGTGCAAAGGTAATCTAGGGGGACTAGTCCGAACGGGTAAGCCACTGATGGGAGGAGTGCATAACGTGAATGACGCATTACCAAAAGTTCGTCTATACATACCCACGTACACTCAGTAAGCTACGTTCGTTTAAACTAATCATATCAGCATAATCGTACTATACCCACTCAATTATTTTTTGTATTCTAGGAGATTATTCATCACTATAATTCATTTGAATTACCTTGGATTCGGTGTTTTTAGTGGATTTTCAAACACGGAGCTTCAAATTTAAAGATTGTTTTTCTATTATTATAATTGTAATTGTACGTGTAGTACCGCGTCTCGGTAACCGTCAGAACACTTAGACGCTTCGTTTGACTAAAAATAAAACCCCGTTAGTTGTATACGAGTTGTGAGGACTCCATCTGTCACTTGAATTGGTCTTGAGAATGCAGAGCGAACTCAAAACATTTAGCTTAAGCAACAGTCCTCTGTGAACAATGGTCCCACTGAATGATAATATACTACCAAAATCTACTTCGTAATATATACAACAGAACGGTGAAATTGTTTTTTGACTAGTCATATGCAAGATGATTACTCATTGTGGTTCAATGTTATTAAGACACTCATCAGAGGTTATTTAAATGTAGGCGTTTTATCTCCAAAATAAAATACTCTGGTAAAATTCATAAACAAATAGAGTTGGACAGGAATGCACCAGATCGAACTTATAGACTACTTCATCCTGGGTTGCTTGTTGGTTGACCTTAATGTTTTGTCTTCCATTTTTCTGTAGACAATGTACAGTCAATTAAAAACAAATACCTGCACATATGTATGCACAAGATTTTTGTTAATTATCAAACACAAAAAGTATTCAGCTAGTAATAACTACAGTTTTAGAAGAATTATGCGTATTTCTGTGAATTTGTTTACTTCAGAAATATTGAAAGAAGGTTTATGCATATTATTTTGCTAATACGCTTTGTAATCACCTAACAATGTAGACTATGTTGAATAAAATCCATAATTTTGAAGAAACACTGTAATCTAATTTATACAAGTTATGTAAGAGTTAATTAGCCAGCTCATTCCGATTTTTAGTGACCTTGTGTAATAGTGCATCGATAAATTTGCATACACTAGTAAAGCTTATGTGTACGTGGGCGTTATCACTGGCATATGTGAATCACTTTTTATGTAATAAATAATTAGATCAACACACTTACAAAGGTACCAATAACAGTTTATTCATGATCCACCTAGCTACATTTTATTTTTAAAAAACGTGCATGATTATCACATGATTCTAATGCATCAATTGACGTGTATCTTTATCAAAAGGACATTGAGATTACTATTTCAGCACATATTTTAGATATGCTTTCTCCCTACTGTCCATCCATAATATAGTGATGTATTAAATCTCAGTATTACGTAATTTAAACTAGAATTTGTTCAAATCGTTTAGGTGATTCATTTCGCTTACCTATATTTTAGAGTCGGTAGGGTTTACTAAACTGAAATATCAGCGTATATTTAGAATTCACTGTTTCCCACCTAACTTATATCTACCCAACTCGTTCAATCTGTCCATGATTATTAGTCTTCTATGTAAATACCAATGGTTTTTTTATATTTTGTACAGAATTACGTGGCTATCTGAACTACGATTGAAACTCAATATACCTGAGACCTTTTCTCTGATTGCTTGCATAATGTCAATTAATATCATTTTGTCTAGTCCGTAGTGGTTAAATATGATGTTATTCTACACACTGGGTAATTTACCAGCAGATGGTCATTTTGTTCTATGTTAAAAAATGTAATAAGAAGTACACTAATTTTCCTATCATTTATCCTATTCCATGTAATCAGATTAGCACCTAGGAGCACTGGTTGAATCATGGGTTGATGCTGATCAAGTTTTGCATTCTCTTCATACTTTCCATGTTTTCTTCCTTTCCAGTTCATTATGTGTTGAATTTTTGTTTAGCCAAACATACTGAAATATTGCCCATTTTCTTTGTATTCATACTTTAAACTATTAAGACCATTAAGTTTAAGATGAAAACAAAATTTCCAACATACTTTCAATGCAACTATATACACAGAGGTTAACGGAAATCTTTTCTTAGTTGTGACTTAGTACATAAGAATACAGACTATTCCGATTCAATCTTCAGTTAGATTTTCAAACAAGGTTGAATTTGTTGTGTTTATTCCAATCCGATTTGGACATTTATTGCTTTTTCTGCAAAGTTCACAATCAAACGAAGAAGAGATATACGTCATACTACATATACACTTCAGTCAAAGTAAGGTATGGTCTGATAAGTAGAATCAAATTGCCTATTTTTCTTGGAGATTCAGTTCCTACATGTGAGTCCTAAAACGCCTTTCATGTACTGCCGATTCATAATACTCCAAAGGACTCTCCGTTTCCCTTCACTGGCTGTTTGACATCCCGGTATCACAATCTCTTGTATGTTCTAAATTATCATTAATAGACTACATATATTGTATTTTTCCAGAATATTTCACTAAGCATGTTCTATTTTGAGTCAGTACTTTAGCCTTACCTCAAAGCTTGATAAATTAAAAAGTCCTGCGCTTCCTTAGACAAACATTCTATTTAAACACTATCATCAACAAATGATTTGGTAATTTCAAATAAGTTGATCATTGTGTAGATAGATAATGATAAAAGTGGCGTTATATTTATAAACGTCTATGAACCACAGATTTAATTCTTGAATCTTCTCATTCTAACATTAGGTGCCTTAATAAAAATAAATGTAACACGAATTAAAATAGTACAAGCGAAACGGAGCAGTATTATTTTGATACAATCAAATCGAGTGAGATAGTGCTGATGTAATGTCATTTTGGTTAATGCGATTTTCTTACTCTGTTTCTTCGTATAACTATCCCCTTCATCCAATGAGTGGGTAGGTCACCTCTGGGTATGATGAATATTCGCAAATCCCTCCAGAGCTCGGAGTTCTTGTAGCGGTAAGTAAATCTCCAAAATAAATAGCTCTGTAATTCTTCGACATTGGATGCTGACCACATGTTTTAGTGGACTCATCTAGCTGAAGGCGCTCGGTCAGGCATCCGCACCAGATCACGTGTGGTAACGCCGTGCTCAACATCAACCGCAATCGCTAGCCAGATTAGATCAGAGAATTCCGATATTTTGGTTATCGCCAAATACACTCTTCCGATCTCCTCGACTCTGTCTTTTGATTTCTCTGGGTGGTTACGAATTATATTAGAAGGTGTTACTGGTAGAAGCGTTGTCAAACACTGAATACCTGTGCCATCTTCAAGTTTCCAAAGTGTCGGACTCTACGAAGCTAAGATCACAAGGCAAAGACCTAGGTGGTGAGTTATTAGATAGACATACAAAAGATAGAAATTTATTGAATTTACATTCTGTATCAAACATCTTGGTATCTCAACTATAAAAACTATGTGCTTTTTGAAATCCCGATTCACACCATTACACGTCCCGTGTATCATCTTCCCCATGAAATTATACAAAAGCTTGTGATAAATTTCCATAGACTGATGGCTTCTCTTGCATATGATTTGCTTAGTGCAAGTGTCATGTACTGCCTTGTAGTATAGCCAGTTATCTTTGTCTTTGGAATGATCCAATTTTTTCGGTAAATCGGTATTTTTCTAATGAATTCACAGGTAGTGAACTTTAGCCTATAGGACTATCTAAAAGGAATTATTCGTCGAATATAGGACACCCAAACATGACATCAGTTTCTCAAATCCGGATTTTGTCTCATATGGAACTTGAAGTGGTATTGGTTCTTAACAGTACGATCTTTGAACGTGAGCGTGAAATCACCGAGAAGATTTACATCAAACCTATGACACTAGGCTGAGGTCTGAACGCGGCAGCAATTATTTGAAATGTAATTGTTCAGCCATGCAGGTGCGGTTATTCTGTATAGCCTCTTTTTTCTGTGTCAAATATATTGCTCTCTTCCCAGCTTAAATATATTCGCACATGTGCCAGACGTTACATCGCTGACTGTCACCAAGGAACGATTCATTGAAAAGAATGATGTGACTTCCACGCATAATCTTGGAGATTAGGTTGTCACGATGTGACAACCTACAATTTTGGGATTAGGTCTATTATAATTGTAACGAAGGTAATTGCACTAATACCGAATTAAACCACAATTCCTTAAACCCACTTACATAATAGCTCAAAGATCATAAAGCGTGATTTTAGTTCGCTCATGATTCCTACTTTCACTGTCTGGTAATGTCGATCAACTTCCCTACATGATATTCCCTGTTCAGTTCGAATAAGCCTTGTTTACACTTAATTACACACAAGTCATCATTTTACTTCTATATATTCTCTTACTTCTCATCCTAAAACTTCATACAAAACTAATCCGATGATTGTGAACTGGCATGGCAACTACTTGTTGCAATTACTCATACACAGGTGACCTGCAAATAACAAGGGATGTCGGTTGATTCATTATTCCTCCACTTTGCAAACTCCTTCGAAAAAGCAATCCACATGCTCCTCGTTATGAATGTTGACCCACTTTTATCCTTAATACGACACGACCTAGAGAAAAACATGCACCGTGCCAAGGTAAATACACTGCGCTCAAGTTAAGTCATAACATCTGGAGTTTCACAAGGTACAATCTTAGGTACCCTCCAGATCTTGATCATTATTTACGTCCTGTTAGTTAAAATTACCTCACGAACATTGATCTGCGCTGACGATGCAAATATATCAAGGTAAATAGTGAGCGAAAAACTCACTTGGACTTAAAAACGACTTCTGAACGATGGAGAAACGGGCAGTAAATATAGGAATGAAACTAAACCCGTCGAACTTTTATGCCAAGCACACTCTGGCTCATCTTACACAAAGAACTTACGCCTCCATGAAAATCTGATCTTTACTGTCTCATCGTAACGTGGTCCAGAGATAGTGAATACAGGAGCTTAGACACCAGGCCAACGTAACTCTTCATGTTAAACGAAGACAACTTGGCACGATCACCTTAGATATGTTACTAACTTTCCTTAATACATATACACGACCCCATCCCAATGTCCGGAATTCTGTCGCATCTCATCCCTTCATAAGTGCGACGAGGTCATAGAGCTACAGAATAAAACTTGAGGGGACACACACCGTCACTTAAAGTTACACCCGCTAGGCCACAGGGAAACAAAAGATGAGCTGACGATCATACATAACATATTATGTACACCAAGCCACCTCAGTACGTGCAGACCACCAGAACGTCGCCATTTTGATCATCGAGGCAAGCTCTCACCTTTCCTCACTAAACGTTACCATCAGTTTTAATGCCCTCTCAAACGCAGTGGTCACAGCCCCTTTAGAGTTCAACTTTAAACGGAGACAAATATGTAATAATTTACGGATTAAGATCTCAAACATTAACAAGCTGTGTCTGATTCAATTCTCATAATTTTTACCACAGTATACCGGTAAGTATTCCCTGTCTCGCTTATGTTCATAGCCGTCTTGTCTCCTACTCTTTCAATTCCGTCTTCCTACACATTACAATTAGGCAAAGTATTTATTTGTGCTTAGAACAGTCGTTTTCTTCTGCGCTTCAACTATCACTTTATCATTTTAAAACTGCAATCAACTAACCTTTTGCTTGATAATATGCTATCTGTTTGTATCCATAAACCGTACTATTCCAAGTCAAATGCATTTAAAGAATTACAAAACTGACCAGAATCAGTACGGGCAAGTAGATAAGCTAATATTCATTAAACATAATCGAACACATTCAACCAAACAGAAGTAACGGGAAGCGAGATGCAATAGATCAATCTGTTTTTGCAAACTCATGACAAACATATTGGGTATTGAATTTTCCCGAGCGGATCTTCTAATCAATATGCTACTATTATGCTGGTGAGTTCATATTCTGGTTTTGTTTTTATGCTATATCCAGCTGTGTAACAGTGCAACGCGTTTGTCATCTGTATAATGCTTATAGTTTTTTGACTGCCAGTTGTGTGTTGTGTTTGTTTTTGCATTACTTCTATACAACCAATGAACATGTGATCAGCATCCAAACCCCTAGTTATAACATACTGGGACTTCTGTTTATGCTTTCACACGTAACTGATCTTATCTGTAGCCCGTTTTAGCTGGAAACAGTTCATTTTCAATAAAAACCTACCTCAAAGATCGTTGTGGTATGTGCTGAATTTCATAATTAAAAATATGTGAAAACGCCACTATGTATTTAGAGCAACCTAGATTAAAGCTTTATACCTGCGAATTCCCAGTACACAGAATTGCCTTAGTTAATCTAAAAGAAATAAAGTCTTATTTTTAGAAGATTTTTACACACTCGTTGGGCTGAGTTAAAGATATTGAAATGCAGTAATTTTTCTGAAAATGCTACATGACTGAAATCTAAACAAATACTCATTCGATGGTCTGCTATCAGCCTTCTCAAGGGAATAATCTAATATCGGAGATACTGAGCATTAAACCGTTATTCAACCTTGTTGAATTATCAGATTTAAGTTGTTAAAGCATGAATATGAATAAGTCATTGGTGTTTCTGATACTTTTTAATGAAACATGAAATCTCAGTTTTTTCGAATGAAGCTTTATTCTAAACGCTTGACGATTGTGTATGGCTATGTTCTTCAGAACGGTGTACTAATAAGATAAATGAAAGGCGAAAATGGTTTGTCTAATTCACTGCGTTATGTGTCTGAAAGATACCTGTGTTAAGTCCTATTCTTTTCTTTATGTTTCCGTAAATCTTGATGACATAAGCTTTAATCCCATATGCTAACATTTGTTCGTAGATTTGTATTTGTCTATTCTTCGCCACGTTCTATTATAATTATGAAACATGATAAAAATACATTCGGCTTCATAAAGGGCCTACACTAACCTGATGACTAGTAATTAGTAAACGGAATTTTATGGGACAAAAGCAATATTTGCTTATTCCATGGTTTAGTATGAACGAGTCCAAGCGGATGCATCTACCCATAGGCAGTGCTTATTGAGATTATACTGGTCATTCTTATCCTCTGCTCCATTTCATATTAAATTTAATCTATATGTTAAGTAGACAAGGTTATCGCGTCTTGTCGAAATTAGATGCCGCCCTTGTTGCACGATACTTTGGTTTTAATCAATCAAATCCACAAGCTAGAACTTAAACATAAGATACTGCTAATTTTGATTTATCCGTACTCACTCTATATTGTTTCTATTCCTAAATTCATTCTAGCTGGTGTTTTGTTTACTGTTTGAATTTTACAGCGTTAATTCTCTACACAGTTAAAGTTCTTTGGTCCTTCGAGAGTGCTGCGATCGTTGCTTCTGTTGATTTCATAGGTTAAACAGTTAACCTTTTTGAGAAATTAACTTCTAAATCTCCATAACATTGTCGTTTATTTTATTGACAAACCGAATATATGTAGTCTGTGGTTTTTTGAAGTACTTTAAATGAAAACTTTTGTGACCATTTATATTTCATTAACTTTTGTTCAGTCCTGTTTACTCTGTTGATTTTAATTGATATTAGAGCTTTTTGGGCCTTGGTCAAAGTGTTGATATTAAAATAAACTTGGAAGATGAGGAGCATAGAAAAAAGGAAGAACTCAGGAATGAAGATGGCCATATCCACTCACTTCCCGTTTATTATGATGGTGAAAACGTTTGTGGATCTGTAAATGTTATTTTAAAAAGAGGTGGAAAACTAGAACATCAAGGAATAAAAATCGAATTTATTGGCCAAATTGAATTGTATACAGATCGTGGAAACCGCGAAGAGTTTATTGCTCTTTGTCAAGATTTAGCACGTCCTGGAATACTTTCTCATTCGACAAGTTATCCATTCGAGTTCCTACGCATTGAAAAGCCTTACGAGTCATACTGTGGAACGAATGTCCGTTTAAGGTAACTTTGATGTAACTTCTTACAAATGACAGGTATTTTTTACGAGTTACTATTCAAAAAAGAATTGCTGATATCACAAAAGAACATGAACTCATTGTACATTCTACAATGAGATGTTCCGAATCGAGTGACAGTATCCAAATGGAAGTTGGGATAGAAGATAGTTTACACATTGAATTCGAGTACAATAAGTCAAAGTGTGTTCTTCTTTCTTTATGTTTAACAGTCTAGATACCATTTACAAGATGTCATTATTGGTAAGATATACTTCCTACTGGTTAGAGTTAAAATAAAAAACATGGAGATACAAATATTGAAGCGTGAAACCATTGGTGCAGGTGGGTTCATCACAAAATTATACTTACATTATTCGCAGGACCTACTGCTTTTACGGAGACTGAAACTGTTGGAAAATATGAGATAATGGATGGTGCACCAGTACGTGGCGAGTCGATTCCCATCAGACTATTTCTACATGTTTATGGCTTGAGTCCCACTATGCGTGATGTTTATCGCAAGTTTTCTGTGAGGTATTTCCTGAACTTAGTACTGTTAGATGAAGAGGATCGGCGATATTACAAGCAGCAAGTAAGGATTTTATATCTTTATTTGAAAATTTATCAATGTCACCTGGTAATAAAACAAGCGTATTTATTTTTTCTATACCTCTTCAAGTATTTTCCTCAGTGTGGTCTTTCAAGGTACTCATTCTTAGTTGACTGTACTGTAATATAAATTTGATTGACTTTCATTGCAAATTCCACTTTTGTTTTGTATATTTTTACTTATTAAGAGATATAATTAGTTTAAGCGATTTGGGAACTTATAGGCTTTCAGTTGAAATGTATGTTCAATCTACTTTTTATAACATTGTATACCTAACATAGTCACTTGCAACGTTGATCGCTACGCAATTGTGTCAGTTAGTGTCACTACATCTAGCAAGGAAAAAAAATGAACGCTGTTGTCTAAGAAATATCGGCAGAGAAATGTTCACTTTCAAATTTTTATTTGTCTTTTACTGCTTTAGTTGCTTCAACATCAACCGATGGTAATAAACCTGACCAGAATACAACTATAGTCGTACATCGAAAAATATGTCTGTGTTCTAGAATAAGCCAAAGTGTGAATATATGGTTCCTACATCCACGTTCATGTCTAAGACAACTACATTAGTTAAACTAATTCCTTTACGATTGTCACAAGAGGATTTTTATCCTCTCTCATAATCTGGGACGATCAGCGATCTAGACCCATCAGATGCGATTAAATCCAATTCCCGAATTTTAGTCAAGATTTCAGTTAATCTTACTGTTAAAACTGGCCCACCATCCCTAAAAATCTTAGCGTTTAGTACACTAAGTTCTGCTGCTCTCCCTCGCTTCAAATGTTTTAGCCTTTTCAACTGCACTAAGAGCTGGCGGACTTACATTAGTTTGCCATTTAGGTTGTTTGGAGATAGTGGGTAACTGAAGCGTGGCTGAAAGTCAGTTGAGGTGTTCCCTGATATTTTCTACCCATCGGTTCGATCTCCTTTTTTGATTGAATAATAGTCCCATATTTCTTCAGACTCACTAACAAACATGTTTGTAATATCGGTTTTCTTAGCAAGTCTGAACAGTTGTCTACTGTTACCTGTCGCCGCTGCTTTTCCCATCTCTTCTGCTTTCAATACCCACCACTACTCACGATCACTACATAGACTTTTTATCAGCCTGCGTTTAAGTTCATAAAGAGCAGACTAGAGGAAAGCAGGCTGGTTTCCGACCTTGAAGTGGCTCTATAGACTAGATATTCACACTACGTTAAGTCCTAGGACAACATACATTCAGACGCCCCATAATCGTAGTATTTTTCGACCTTAAGGCGGCATTTGACTCTGTCGATCATGATGTTTTATGGCTGTTTTTCAATGAAAGGAGTATTGAGGAAGTAAATTAACCTCTCTACTCCAACACAACTGCCCGAGTGAGAGCTTATGGTAAACCGTCATCAGAATTGATTACCTCACTTGGCGTTCGTCAGGGCTGTCCACTCTCCATTCTTGTTTAACCCTTTCCTCATCTAAATTTCCAGGAGTTGAACTTTTACCCGGAGATTCACTTCTTAATTTAGAACATGCTGGTGAAGTAGTTCTTTTTGTTGAAGACGTTGACAAAATGCAGGGTCTTCTGACCACCGTAAGCACCAATGCAAGCATGTTCGAGATGTGATTTTCCCCCTCGAAATGCAAAATGTTACTTCAGGATTGGGTTGCATCGACACCTGAACTAAAGATAGGGAGTGGAGTAATTGACTGTGTCGACCTCCTCACTTATCTTGGTAGTCTCATCAGTCTTTGTGGTCTGGTGTGTGACGAAATCTCGGCACGGATATACAAGGCTCGATTAGCTTTTGATAACTTGTGTCATTTATGGCGTAGGCGAGATATCCGTCTACCAACCAAAGGACGAGTTTACTGTGCAACTGTTCGTTCAATCCTACTTTATGGCTGCGGAACATAGCCAGTAAGACTAGAAACTTCGTCAGTTGAGATGGCTGGGACATGTATTACGTATGTTCGATCACCGACTGCCCCAATGAGCGGTGTTTTATGGTGTAGGAGTAAGTTGGAAGAAAGATAGGGGCAGCCAGACCAATAAATGGCACAAATCCATGAAGTCACTGGCAAGTGGACTGAGCCATGTTGGTAGGTGTAGGCTACCTGGTTGAGGTCTGCGAGATGATAACCACCGATGGTTAGAGACCTTGAATGACATGGCTCAAAATCGTTTGCAATAACGCAGGTGCATCCACTCTCTATGTTCTCCCAAATTCTAATCTTCTGAATTATTCATGTCCCTTTTTTCCTTCCAAATTCATTTCACTGGATTATACTCCTTGAATATCATCTTCAAACCATAATCTTTTCGATTACTGTTTATACTCTTACTACCTCTACCACTATGGGATTGGAATCGACAATTGCATCTCTGTGCTAATGTGATATGGCAGCTTCAACTGATGTACCTGCGTACGAAGTCCTACGTTGTTGCTGACTGACGCCTCATCGTGTTTTGAGTCAGTCAAGATGAAATTCTTAGCATTTATCAGTTGAGTGGACCCCGTTGAAACCCATCGATTTTTCCTAACCTTTTGGTTCAAGTTGCTTGTAGATATCACTGCTATTTCCACCTTTTTTGGATATCACACCGTGCTATCTCGGGTTTGGTATCACTTTTACAGTTGAATAGCTCCCTTTCTAGTTGTTCTTGAAATATATTTGGCTGTTTCATCGTTAAGGTAAACTCTAATACTCCTTCTTACTATGGCTTCCTTGCATCCACTAAGACGCAGACAAATACGTCCTCGAACTAGGGCATGATCCGAGTTTAAACATGTGTTCCATCATAGGTTTCAGTCTTCTATCAAGTTCTCCCTAGATGGATGATGGAAACGTGGTCTTTTTGAATCCATAGTTGAGTCAGTTGTGAGGGTCGCTTTGTTAAACGGTATATTTTTCGTGCTTAAAGTGAGTGTTTACTAGAATTAACTAGTTGTTTGATCATAGTTGCAGCGGTCGGTCATTTTCTATTTGCTGAGTCGTGACAAGGTAAGACCACCCACCTAAATGTTTTTCAGTTTGGCGTATACTACCTACTAGGGCATCAAGATCACCTACCACTATAATTACATCTGAGTGTTAAGCTTTTTGAAGAAGGTTAGAAAGCTTTATATAGCGTTCGTCTTTTACTTCATCTGAGCTGTAATCTCTGAACGCATAGTAAGAAACGACGAAGCAATAATAGCCTGTGTCCCTGTTTTTCCGAGTTTAGTTGGGAAGCGCACTAGCAATTATTTATTGTAATCTAGTTTAGGAGTGCCTATTGTGCTTTAGAACTGAACGCTATACCTACACTAACTAAGCCATTGGAAGTAGAAGTGGGGTTTCCAGATACACGAAGTGTAAACCTCTCCAGTTCTTCATATTCACCGGGTGAGGTAAAATGAATGATTAGTGGTCTCATTAACCTGAAAACGTCACCGCAAGACCCAAACAACGATTTCCTGGGACCAGTCTAATGCGGACTTTTCATGGAAAATCTTCAGTTTTTTAGCTACGTATTTCTAAATGCTTTACCCCTGGAGACGAAAATTCGTGGGATTAGTGTGAGGTGAGACATTTCATAGTCAATTTATTCTAACTCCTTCCTTTGTGAGAATGAAGCACTGCTGCAGGTGGATCTGAGGAAAACGTCTTATTGCTGTCACACCTCTCTACAGTCAACAGTACAACTTAAACCTTAGACCTTAATTCCCCGCTTTCATTCATACCGTTATTCAAGAGACCTGCGTGGTATGGTAGGACTGAATGTTGCTCGATACCCTTTCGCAGAACATTTCAGAAGATGGTCGACAAGTTCCCCGTATTTCGTTAAACACAGCTGACCAGCTAAATTGGCATCAGTCAATGTAAGGTCTCGAAAATTGTCCAGTACATCTGTATCCCCATACAAACTAGGTCCTCTCATCCTCAATAAAACAACATCTACATCTTCACTTCGCAAGTGTCTAACCTGATATTCACTAGGTTTTTCGTTATATTCATTCGGAAGCAGATGCCGGACATTTAAGACCTGTACTCAAGCCCCCATTGACAGCTTGCCGAACTTCTGCATAAGTCTTTGGATTATGCTGAAGCCAAACACATGTTCAGAAAACTTAGTGGTCCCTTAAATGCGGGTCCCAGATATACAATATAAATTAGTATCAAAACGTTTTGAATACATCCTTAAATTCATCTGTTTACTGGTCTACATCAAAGTGTAAACGTAATAAGCGACAAGTTTAAATGGCAGACGTGGCTTCAGAAGGGTTGGACCAGACTTCGTATACTGTAGTAACACTCAGAAAATCGACCACTCTGTGATTTGAGACCGTTCGTGCAGAACGTGAGTTCCAAACGTAAGCTACTGATTGAAATCAGTGTAAGAGGGGGCATAAGAGTCATGAGAATTAAATAAAGTAGAACTCTAAAGTGGGATGAAATCAATTGCGTTATAATAGTGAAATAGTTATGGTCTTTTTATTTTCTGATCATTAGTGTCGGATAAGCGGGTCAGATTTTCTCCAATAGTATGTTTTCTTTATATATATATGAGCTGGAATACTGCTTGGATGCCCAAATTGAAGCAGAGTTTTATTATGAAACCAGTCCCATAGCCTTCGACTTAGCTACAGGGGTTGGAGCGATGTCAGGTGGTTCAGTTCCTTGGAACCCAGTAATCAAATAAATTCATACGTCCTTTGATCCCTCAGGACCCTACAGCCTGTCTGCACCATTGGTTCGGAATCAGGGTTTCTCAAGTTGCCAAGATGGACCTACTGACCTAGTTTAAACCATGGATGCCCACTTTTCGCTCTCCATTTCACTCCCATGATAAAGAGTCAAAATAACTCGTGACCAAATGAGAACGTTTCAAGAGGCAGAGTAGATTCTTCTTACCTTCGGGCGTACTTAAGGTGTTTAGGGGGAAATATTATATCTAGTTGTCCAACACTAGCTATAATACGTGCTCTCATCTAACCGATCATTGTATCTACATCTGATGATTTTCTGACATTTACTGTACTTCAAATAGACCGATCAGACTAAGTTTTATTACTCTTAATGTATGTACTCAAATAAAATGGTACTAATATAATTTAAATTCTTTTCGTTTAGGAAATTATATTGTACAGAAAATCCGATCGCCGACTCAAGAATTATGTGCAACAGATTACAGACAAAGGACTTGAAACTAATGGAAATGGGGTCAAAGAGAAAGGAGAAGCTTATGCTGATAACAAAATGCATGAACAAACAGATCTCGAAGCTCCTGCAAAGGTACGCGTATCGTATTCACGATAACTAAAGACAGTTACTAATTAAAACTAAGCTTCTCATAAGTACGTTCACGAATGAAGATCCATATTATGTGATTGTTTTATTTCATATTGTAGGGTCTGCAATCAAACAGTGTATGTTCCGACCTCTCGACGGGTGAACATGAAGATGATAATGCAGATTGTTCTAAGTTATTCAATAATCCTGCTTCTACTGCCAGCGAATGTGAGATAAATAAACTTGGTGATGACGAGGAGGACAATGATAGTTGTGATTCTTTTTCTCCCCATACACGTGCAGCCAGAAGTATGCACCGTTATGAACCTAAGCAGGTTCATAAGCACACAGAATCGTCAACTGTTGGTGACCTTCCAAACAAATCATCTGTGACTGTTTCTAGTGTATCAGTTACGCAAAATTCTATGTAGGAAGATATTTTGTACTTAACATGTTCATTACATGTTAAATTTTGCTTGCTAAAGTCAATCCTAGTCAAAATTATTCCGGTAGACTTTTAAAAATCATAACAATGCTGTGATACGCTAGATGTTAATTAATCATTTGCATTTCTGTTGTTTAATCAAAGTTGAATGAACCGACTGTAACTTATTGGTAATGTATCTTTCGCTACATAAAACAATTTGTTTACCATGTTTAGTTTATGAGCGGATAACTAACATTGAGATTAGTGTTGATTGTGTTGAATTTCGCATTCTCGTAGTTAAGTCACAACTTTGATTACTAATTAATTTACTTTAATTTTGTTTATATTTTATAAAATTCACATAAAACAATAAATTGATTTCAACAATAAAAATAATTTGCTTTTTTTTGTATTGAAAAGAAAAAATAATAATGATCAAACTTTTAAAAAAAAATAGTCTGCGGAATATTTTCCCTTTTGTAAATTAAAATGGTAAAATAAATCACAAAGTTCAGAGCTTTTGTCAATTATCAGTACGGATTATATTATACGTGATTTTGAGCACGAAGGGCATTTCGTTTCTCCATTAGACAAGCAGTCTCCATGACAAATATGATTACAATTGAAAATTGCCCATGACCGATGATTTTCTTCGTTGCTTTGACTATTCACATCACATTTTAATTGATTTGTACTTCGCCATGATTGCCCGTTATTGTTCAATATAGGTTGCAGACACACTGTACATCCAGTAGAGGACCAAGCACTTGAATTCACACGAATTCCTTTCATTTGCATTTTGATAACACGTAAGAATAACTTATGCATGTCTGATGACAAAATGCGTGAACAGCTTTGCTGCAGTTCAAGTTGAATCTAGAAACAGGACAAGACAAGTCATTTTACCGTAAATTCTGATCAATATTATAAGTAGATATGCAAAACTGACACTCGCATCAAAGATATTAATATTTATTTGAACACATAAATATTGGTACAAGGGGGCACCACTGAAAATTTTATTAATATTTAGTTTTTCTGAAGCTTAATTACATGGAGGTTGTAACCCAATGACACTAAGATCAAACTCGCAATACTTGGAAAGTTAATCTTTTCCTGTTTCAAACAATTTCTTCTAGGCTTTGGAATTGTTTCGTCAACTCACTACATTGCATCTAATATCTATAAAACGACTGCAAAAAACACCTTGTATATACCAATTTATTTGGTTTATGGTAGGCAGTTTCCTGAAATAATTCATTTAGTTCTTTTAAGATCTAACAAAAATAACCCATTGTGTCATTGAAGATATAAATACAATTCAGCGAAGAAAATCTTATTTTCGACGATATTTGCTGTTAAGATAATTTAAATAAAAAGCTTGAAGATCAACAAACTTGTTTAAACAGTAATAAATGTCGTTTTCGCCCAAACTGAAAACAAAAGACAAGAACACAACACATTTTGAAGAAGCCTGTGCCAATTATAAAGCGTTGACAGTGAACAGTTCATTAAAGACAAGTTAACATTGGGTTTCATATGTTGTTACCCCTAAGGGAACACTACTCCTTTTGATAGATATTCTAACTGAACGCTCTTCAAATAACACAACTTGAACGCGAGAAAAAAGGCCCGAAGTGTGAAAAGCATGCTTTGTTTTAAGGTTAGTTTATGTAGAGAAAATTGAGGGTATTTATAGAATTTCAGATGGTCTTGGGCTTTGGAAGGTTCTGGAACCCTATTATAAACATAGCAGGATAGGTAATCATCCAACCAGAAATGTGACGTGTGACTCTTCACTTACTAGATGTTTTCGAGAAACTTATTCAATGTTGATTGGATAAAATGTTTCCCAGTAATTCCAGGGTCCTCGGGGCTTTTTCCGAGAAATATTCTGGACCTCCTCAATACCTTTATTACTAAAACCCCCATTAAAGAGAAGAAATGGTCTATCGCTCAGTAACTATAATATAGATGAAAAGTCTATGGTTTTCCAGTTAACATTTTTACATAGTAGAACCAAAACGAGATAAATGTCCTATCTGATTTTACGACTCACTACCGATGTAAATTAACATTTATACCACATACACGGATAATGCAGCATGATTCAGATACTTTACATTTAGCGAATTAAAATATGTAATTTCGTGCAATTCTTCAACTAGTTCTAGATGATGACAAGTACTACCTACCTTGTAATCATGCATAAGCTTGACAATTGCATCACGGAGTCCAGGTATAGTCATGTCTGGTGATATTTTACGTAGTAGCAGACGTGAATCAAGACCTTCACAGCCTGCATTTTGTAGTAATGCACATATGAAAGCAGGTTTATCCGCCGCAAATAAAATAACCTGTTGCCATAGTTCACCGGCATTTTCATCACCTTCGTCTTCATCGCAATCCTTGCTACAATTTGAATTATTCATATTACGATGTCCATGGAAAGGGCGACGATTTTTCGCGTGGATAACATCTTCTTCTCGGCAGTATTCGATCGACTTTGCAGCAGCTATAGCTTGGCGTTGTTCCGGAGTTGTAGACTCTCCAATTAACGAGTCTTCGCCTCCCTGTGTGATGAAATGTAAACAACGCTTTGGTAAAACAAATATCGCCTAATGGAAGTCGCGTATTTCATTAAAGAGACTATATGAGTTGACTATGGGAAATTTTGTTTCGTTCATAGGGATGATGTTTGAAGTTAAAAGAAAAGATAGGATGTCACAGAAGTGATAGCTCAGTAGTTCTTTAAGAACAGGCGACTACAGCTTTCTTTCAACTTCATCTTTATGTATAAAAATGCAATGGACAGTTAACAAATTCAAGAATATTTTAAAAAATAAGTGATCTTAGACAACATTGTACATAGGTTATGATCAACAGTACGCGTCCTAAATAGTGACAACTAAACTGTCGTCACACAATATAAAGCTTAGTGTGAGTAGAAAGAATACACCGAATCGATTATATAATAACAGAAAATACTCTGTGACTAAATGCAGTTATATTGTGGTGATTAAACGAAAGTCATTTACAAACAACCAGAGTGGTATAACAACTCGTCAATCAGTCTAAGCTCTTGCACAAATCTACACAATACAATATAAACATTAATGAAGTAATAGCCTAGTAGTGTTACTGATTTCTATACTAAACGTATGGAGATATCTACTACTCAGTAGAAAAACTCAAATTTCACAGGGGATAATACATTATTGCGATCCAAAAATTGTAAACATAAGTTGTCTTAAAATTTAAAAATAATATTTAATAAGATTTGTATTACGCAACCATACTTCGCAAATGTTATCTTTCAATTGGTACTACATTTACATGAGAACCTGAACTATTGGCAAATACACTTTCTAAATTCGTTTGCAGCATTTCTTGATGAACAGAAGTTAATCTCAACGACAGTATTTTAAAAAGCGAACTGTAATCAGAATTGATTATCTCAAGTGGTGTTCGTCAGGGCTGTCCACTCTCCCCATTCTTGTTCAACTTTGTGGTCGACGTACTTTTAGAGATAACACTCTCCTCATCTCAATTTCCAGAGGTTGAACTTCTACCGGGAGGTTCGCTTGTTGACTTAGAATATGCTGATGACATAGTTTTATTTGGTGAAGATGCTGACAAAATGCAGAGTCTTCTGACCACTCTAAGCAACAATGCAAGCATGTTCGGGATGAGATTCTCTCCCTCGAAATGCAAAATGTTGCTTCAGGATTGGGTTACATCGACACCCGAACTAGTGATAGGGAGTGAAGTAGTTGAGTGTGTCGACCGCTTCACTTATCTTGGAAGTCTCATCAGCCCTTGTGGTCTGGTGTGTGACGAAATCTCAGCACGGATACAGAAGGCTCGATTAGCTTTTACCAACTTGCGTCATTTATGGTGTAGGCGAGATATCCGTCTATCAACCAAAGGACGGGTTTACTGCGCAGCAGTTCGTTCCGTCCTACTTTATGGCAGTGAAACATGGCCGGTAAGAGTAGAGGATATCCGTAAGTTACTAGTATTTGATCATAGGTGTCTTCGAAATATTGCTCGTATATCATGGGACCATCGAGTAAGTAACACAGTTGTTAGGAAACGGGTACTAGGTAAGAATGGCAAATCAATTGATGAAGTAGTGAAACTTCATCAGTTGAGATGGCTGGGACACGTGTTACGTATGCCCAACCACCGCCTACCTCGACGTGCTATGTTCAGTGGTATAGGAGTAGGTTGGAAGAAAGCTAGGGGCGGCCAGACCAAAACATGGCACAAGTCCATGAAGTCACTGACAAGTGGACTGAGTCATGTTGGTAGGTGTAGACTACCTGGTTGGGGACCGCGAGATGATAGAAACCGATGGTTAGAGATCCTGAATGACATGGCTCAAAATCGTTTGCAATGGCGCAGGTGCATCCACTCTTTGTGTTCTCCCAAATTCTAATCTTCTGAATTCTTCATGTCCTTTGTTTACTTTCCAAATTTATTTCACTGGATTATACTCTTTAAATAACATCTCCAAACCCTAATCTTCCCGATTACTGCTTATACTCTTATTACCTCTACCACTACGTGATTTGAATCGACAACTGCATCTCTGTGCTAATGTGGTGTGGCAACTCGAACTGATGTATGTGCGTACGAAGTTCTACGTTGTTACTGACTGACTGACAGTATTTTAAAAAGTCTATCTATATAATGGATTACTACAACCAGATGATACCAATCACATATTTTATTGAGAGTAATTTTCGAGGTATAGTTATTAGAGGAGCTTGATGACCGCCCCGCATTCTCATGTATATGTGGGTTTTATTAAGTATAAGTTCGAAAGTAAGTGATTACCTATATGACATAAAATGTCCAAACCTGCTTCAAAATGGTTTTACGGCCCAAAGAATTACATTTTATTCATTCAATTAAACCAGTGGATATATTTGCCCCCAAAGTTTACTAAAATAAAGAATTTGCTCTTATTAATTATAAAGAAGAATAAGTTATGGGATC